CGAACATTATAGAAGATAATACAAACGTTCTACTCCCTTTAAAAAATATTAACTCTTATATTAAATATATCTACTTACAAATAATTTTAACAACAAATCAGTTTAACTACAGTATAATCAATTCATATAATAAAAACAACGTCTTCCAAATATTTGTGTCATAACTTTTAAAACTCAATTGACTAATTAATCCAGCAAGTAATTTGCCATTAAACGAATAGTAGTTCAGTGCAAAGCTTTCCTTATTAAAATATATATATATATATATTTATGTTAGAATACATAATTACTTGTTTTTATCATGAGCAAATTATTTATCTAAATGTTTTTTTTTATACATTCAAAGTGTTCACCAAATAGGAAAATGGAGAAACCTTTCTAATAAATTTAATCAGTTCTGTCCGCTGTACCAGCAGAAATCTGTGGTATTGATTGTGAACTCACGATAATTAATTTTGTGTTAATTGAATTGTAAATGATATATTGAACTTAAATGAAATGATTAATGCAAAAGTTAGTTTTATGTTTGTTTATTATTAACCTTTGACGCCTTATTTACCCGATCGATAAGATTCTTCGAACACTTGCCCAGAGATAACCAACTCTTAAAATGGTATCACTGACTCTCATGGCTCCACATCGTTTTGAATTGTAATAAGCTGCATTTTTCATTTCTTAATTTCCCACACTTAAAGGTGATATTTCTTTACAAATGTTAATTGGACTATATAAATATGTATATAATAAAAAATAAAGTATACCCTAGCAAATAAAAAAAAAGTATTTTCCCAACCAGTTCATGGATAACGGAGTTTTAAGATAAGAAACAAAAAATATATACGAGTATCTAAGTTACACATGTCCTCCTTCTTTAAAGTCGGACAAAAAGATTTTTTCCAGAGAGACGGATCGACGAAAAACTTCAACGGATCGCTGTTATCGAAGCTAATAATTAACAGATTATAATCTTTATAGCTATAGTTTAACTACTCATCTTTGACTGAGAACAGTAAAAGCGAGCATTCATCTAACTAAATAACGAATAAACCATATTCTCGTTCAATTATAAATAAACCATTCGTAAATAACTATAATAAATCCGTGACAGAATATTTGGTCGGTATTAGCGCGGGCAGTGAGCACTCTAGCCACAAGATTGCACAGAGTCGTAATATAACCGAATTGAGTAAGGCGAGCGCCCCCGATACACATCGTGCGCCGGCTCCACTCAGCATGTCTGGTTACTCAAACAGACGGTCAGGGTGTTAAATAACTCGATACACTCACTTACGTTATTGGGTAAAGGTAAATATATTTAATTAGACTCATATTTCTTGAAGGTTGGACTTGTCAACAGACGCAAAATATATGTGTCTAAAGACTTTGTATCTATTTTCGCACTCTGCGAAAAACCGTCACACACAGCTTTCGTGATTTTCGCTTATTATAATGATAAAATCTTTGTTAGTGATAAAATTGTAGTATGTACAAGGTAAGTATATAAGTTTTAGGAATACTAAACCCACAATTGTTTTATTATTATAGACATAATTTTAATACTAATTTCTCAAACGTCTCAATTACAACTGCGTACTGACGCCATGCAATAACAACCCACTAAGCCACAAAACCAGAGTCACGCCACGTGAAAGTCGCACGAAATGTCTCAGCGTCTTGAATCCCCAATATTTCCTAAAATTAAAAAGCATTTAATATCAGTCTGTATTACTAAGACAATAAAAACATCAATACTAATTGTCGTCGTCCTAGCAGAGCACCAACTATCAAAAAAATCGGCAAAAGTCTAAAACTATATATCACACAAAAACAAAACACAATCAACTTATAACTATAGTAAAAAATATCTAGTGACGCAAGCTATGGTAGCAAATGATGGCTCATACTATACCAAACAAATGATCAGAAGCATGGAATGCAAAGCTACGCACTAATGATGCACCTCGAGTATTCAACTATGCCAGTACATAATTACAAAAGTCGTGTCGTGGTCAGAATAATAAGAAGTGCGGCCTTTTGGCCTGACACAATGCCAATGTCAGCCGTTGCACCCGACTGAAGCATTCTTCTATATTGCAAATATTGTTATACAACTAGTTACAAAAACATTTTTCTTTTTTTTATGGAATCGGGGGCAAACGAGCAGACGGGTCACCTGATAGAAAGCGACTACCGCCGCCCATGGACGTCTGCAACTCAGGCGTCACAAGCGCGTTGCCAGCCTTTGAGGAAGGAGTACGCTCTTTTCTTGGAGGTTTATAGTAATAACAATAACAATAAATGTTTATTTAAATTTAAAAACGTATTACAATTTTCAATTACTTCTGCCAAACTGCACAGCAGTTTGTTGGCAGACCTAGCTCCCATATTACACTCTTTATTATAATTTAACAATGAAGATGGTATCGGTCGGTCAGCCGAAATATAATATAATTATATTATAATTATTTACGTAAAGCCTACGAATAATTGAGTTATACAAAAATGTAGAACGTAAAAACGAGAAAGTAAATACGAAAAAAAGTTTTATTTTTGTTTAGAAAATACTTTTGCTCCTAAAGACGTACGAATCTAAGTAAATAATTATCAAATCAAAGGAAATTAAACTTTATTTCACACGCATATTAAGTAAATTTGACTGTGTTTGTCTTTCTTTGTCTATACATACCACCATTGTTGCGAAAAAAATCTACAGCTTTATCATGTCGCTTTATCCGTGTGGTGACGGATTAAGAATACGGAATGTCACCCCTTTTCATACCGTGGGTGTCGTAGGAGCCGACTAAGGGTACAAATTGCACAGGACAACAGCACTGCAAAAAGATGGAAAACTTGAAACAAACCCTATACTAAACCGTCTGGCCAGCGTGGTATAGCAGGCCAAAACCTTATTTCTAAGGAGAGGCCCATAGGCCCATAGACCACTGCTGGACATATCCAGCAGTGGTCTATTATAGGCTGCTGATGATGATGATTATGTAAATGTCTATCAGTAAACTTATGAGCTTATATTTCTAGTTTAAAAATAAGCTTTCGGTGTCTAAACCACCATTTGTAATCACATATACATTTAACCATGTTTTTATTTATCGCAGAAACCATATGAAGCAATGAATAACAATAATTATTTTTATACATAATTAAAACAATTAGATCAGAAAGTAACAATTAGTTATATAAAGAATTAATTTACGAGTACATATATACATACGCAATAGATTGCATTAGAAGGAAAAGCCATAGGCAGTTTCTTCAAAAACGTGTGTTGCTTGTGTAGGTATGGTAATTGAAATCAGAATGGCGATTGTTACTTCGAAAAATGAAATCCATACTTAAATCATAAATGTGAAAGTGAGTATGAATGAATGATGTAAATGTGGTTGTTTGTTACGCTTTCACGCTTAAACCACAAAACGATTTAAAAAATTCTCTCACCAATAGAAAGCTACATTATCAGCGAGTAACATAGGCTTCACACACGAGGGCGCAGCCGGGGTCAAAAGTTAGTTCAAAATAACGTAATATAACACAAAGATACTTACTTTGAAACTGTCACAATCCATATATAATTATGTTTACGAGAACTAACGCGCTTACGATAGGTATTGAGTACATACCCTTAAATTATAATAATAATAACTTTATTTACCAATAATACACTCAATACATCTTGTTTACAAAGAATATTTCGAAAATGTTACAAATAAAATAATCAGGCTTGAATTGCCTGACGTTTCGACCAGGTTGCACTGACCGTGGCCACAGAGTGTGAGTGATCCATCTTAGTAGATACATAAAAACTCTGAGGAATTTTTAAACCATGAGTTTCGGCGGAGCCGGAAAGTGAGGGTAAAGAATATCTCAGATCTCGGATCGGGAACTAGACTAAGATTGTGGTGGCTCTCTTCGAGATACCACAATCCATATGTCGGCCGTAACATATCCATATGTCGACCTTTGATGAGTTGGTTATCAACAGCAAAAAATTTTTGTTGCCGTAAAATATTTAGAAGTATCAAATATGTTCTCGAAGTGGTATGCAGATCCGATGATCTCTGTGATACAGCATATATGACACAATTGACAGACCATGGGTCGTTAGTTCGATCCCTGTTCACTGCAAAAATGCATGAATATGTTATATTTTTGTACAGGTATGTATTTACAAATCATGATCATCGGCCTACCGCAATCCACTGTTTGACATAGGCCTCTCCTATTACACGCCACTAAGTTCGATTTTGGGCTTCTCGCATCCAACTCCTGCCAGCCATCTTGCGCAAATCGTCACTCCATGCCTATTTGCCGAGGTCGCCACTCAAGAACTCCTTTTCCAATACGGTTGTCCCCAACCTCATTTCTGATGCGATCACTTAAAAAAACGCCGAGCCCTTTCCATAGCACTTTGAACGACTTTGAACTTTTGGACCAGCCGTACCATAAGTTTCCACGTTTCGACTCCGTATGTCGTGACGGGTAGGACGCACTCATTGAAAACTTTTGTCTTAAGGCACTGTGGTACCGACGATGAGAAGACTCGACAGTAGTAGAGTATTTACAAAAATGTTATGTAATTATAATAATAATAACTTTACACATCTCACACACGGCCGTCTGATTCCAAACCAGGCAGAGCCTGTACGATGGTAACCAGACTGCTGATAAACATACTTATATATTTCTAAATACATACATATTATAGATAAATTACACCCAGACACAGAATAAATCATCATCACTCATCACAAAGTTCTCATCACCCTGAGTGGGAATCGAACCCACGACCTCCGGCTTAGCACTCAGGGTCAATAACCACTAGACGAACATTATGTTTTTCCGTATTCTGGTACCCACTGTCATAAGTCTGCTTAGTTTGGCTCTAGATAGCGATGTGTATAATGTCCCAAAATATAAAATAAGGGGACAATTTCCTCTTTAATTCCCGAGATGAAGCAATTCCTAATCGTATTGATTGCTTTTAGATGAGCAGTACTATTCCATGCCAGTACTGTTTGAGTTGGACGAGTGGGCGGGGTGCGTCGCGCGCCAGAACTCGTACTGCGTTGGCAGCTTCGAGCTAAGCACTGAACAGAATGACACGCACCAACTCTACGACATGATGAAGGTAGGTAATGTTTATCACTGACTAAGCGCTGTGCGGCCATAGTACAATAGACAAGATGTCTTGGAACGGAGGTTCACACTAGCAACGTAACTCGTCTTCTCACACACAAGATTGTTGTTATGTGTGTACCCACGAATAATATTTTGTATTAAAAGACCGATTTGACAAAACTTTTGTTATTCAAATCAGTCTGTTCTTTTGAACAGACTGATTTGACACAAACTTAACTTTACCGTTCTTAAAATCATGATGTAATAACAGTAAATCGATGACATTAGGATTTTAGGTCAGAGAAAACTAGTTAAAAATAATACTTAAATAGTCGTATCTTTGAATTACATTGACTTAAAATCTTTATTTATTTTCCAGCTGCGAGAGACCGACATTTAACCTTAATTTAACTTTCGATAGACAGACAGACGATCATCTAATTGTCCTTTAAGAGTTTATTTTTTTCCTTAACACACTGGCAATACTCCGCAATATCAGAGGTTTCAACGTCTTATCTCCTCCATAAAAGTCTCTAACTGAATAGCTTACCTTCTAGTTCTAAATTCAAGTCGTGCAAGTTTTAAATTTGAATGTAGTCTTACCGAGTATTGTTTTATCTGTTATCTCGTCTTAAAATTGAGCGATGTTGAGTCTGTTAATGGCATTATACAAATATCTAATCATCCTTTCTAAACGATATGATTTATTCTATACAACTCACCGCGTTATACAACACGACTCTAATGTATCAGTGCTATTAACTAGTTGTGTCATGTTGTGAATTATAGTCGAGCTAGTGTCAAATATTGAGTAAACTATTTTTTTTTTCAATTTCTTAATATAATCCTTATGTAGCAACACAGGATCTAAATCACAACATATGGCTCGAAGCTTGCATCTTGCAGTATAGATATGCATTATAAGAACGCTTTTCTTATTGATAAAATTAATGATAATAACTTTACACATCTCATACACGGCAGTCTGGTCCTAAATGCCTGTGCTATAGTAACTGCTGATAAACATACTTATATATTTCTAAACATACATATTATAGTTAAATTACACCCAGACACAGAACTGATCTACTATTTGGTTCAGGCAAATAAGGAAAAGAAAATCAGGTAGACGTCGGCATTTCTCCGGTACTTATTCGTATTTAGATTAGCAGCATAGTCGGCAGTCAGTCAGTTTCCAAGCTTACAGCTTTTTAAAGATGTCACGGTATTTGTTTAAAAATTGAAGAATTATAAAAAATAATTAAAAAAAAATTAATAAAATTAAAGAAGCTGCTAGGTGTACAATATACATGATTATATAAGTTTGCCTGTCATGTTGTGGATATCCTTCCATACTGATATTTTAAAAGTGACTTTGTTTGTTTGTTTGTTACGCTTTCACACCTAAACCACTAAACTGACTTTAAAAAATATTTTATCAATAGGAAGCTACATTATCAGCGAGTAACATGAGCTACTTATACCGCGATAACCGACATACACGGACGGAGCCGCGGGTCAAAGCTAGTTGTTACATAAAATTGAAATCACTTTAACTCTGTTAACGACCATGTTTAAAAATACACCTTTGTTATATATTTTATAATTTATTATTTTACGTAAATAAGAATCTTAACTAGAAAACTAAGATTTTCAACTCAACACGGCCCATTAACGTTAATCATATACATACACACAAAATGACAATTCATAACCAACAATATGTCAACAAGTCGTGTGCACATTGACAAATTAAGTCCGATATTAATAATGTACTAATATACGAGTATTGTATGAGAGACGCGTTCACTATGAGCCGACCTCACAGATACGACGGGGCCATGAATGCAAGTCAAGTCATTTGTCAAAACTTTACAATGGTTATACAAAAAAGACATCAGTATGATCTCCGTTTTGATGGTTTTTAACTGATATGGCCGTGACCTGTTTCGGAAGCTATTGTAAGGTTGTATGTGTACAAGGTGTTATAGAGAGATAGAATCAAACTTTAGTGCCCTAAATAATGCGAAGCGTAAATTTTAAGGACATTAATGTCTTCTACTAAAGACATTTTATTACGTTCAGGTTAAATTTTGAATTTGACTGCACGGATGGCGTAGTGGTTTAAGCGGTCGCCATGCCGCTTTCGGATATGAATGATATTCACATACATATTATAGATAAATTATACCCAGACAAAAAAGAAGTGTTCGTGTTTATGACAGAATATTTTTTTCTGGGTGGGAATCACACCTTCGACCTCTAGCAGTCAGAATCACTAACCACTAGACCAACAGGCCAGTAGAAGGAGTTTTTTTTATGGAAGAGGGGCAGACGAGAAAAGATGACGGCAAGTTGCGGCTGGTATTAGTTCGATTCCTCGGAGCACTCTCCATTATATATACGATAGAGAATGCAGAGTGAAGGCAAGTTATCGAGGCGATCGGAAATCTTTATGTAAAGGCATCTCTTCGTAAAAGCAAGGGATCAAGCCGATTGAAGATCTGCGGGCTATCGACGATTCGCTCCAGAGGAAGAAGCTAGCACTGCTTATCTCTATGCATGGGCGCCAGCCCATGCATGGAGATAAAACTGTTTTCCATATGCGGCTGGACTTGCCTTTTATAGAGTTGAAGGCCATGGGTCGGAGTGATATACTGCCTCAATCTGTTCAGCACAACAAGCTTTTTCGAGGCCAATTTATTCGACTATGCCCTCTAAGTGACCCTTAAACTGGACTTCGTTCGATATGACGATGCCTTGGATTCGGATACTGGATGAGGCAGTTAGGGAGGTACTCTCAAACCGAGGTGATACGACAATCGGTATCTTCTTTGCGGTGAAACCTGTATCTTTTTTGGGTTAAAATGGACTAGATTTAGACGACCCCAATTTGAAACCTCCGCTAAGTAAGTTTAAATTTCAGACACAAGTTTGTTTAGACTCTCCATGACGTTTACGACTAACATTTACGGATTTCAAGTCGAAGCATGCACCGTCGACAGCGCAAAGAAACTGGTGACCAAGTTATATAATTTCTCGGGCAGGCCATAGCTTTGAGAGAAGCGCTTTATGCCAGACAAATCGAAGGACTTCGCTATGTCCGAACGAACCGCACAAGTCTCCCCGTTGCTCTCGATCGCCTGTGTCGATTTTAACCGATTTAGAAAATTCTTTCATCTATTCAAATCTACATTACCTGCGAGTAACATAAGCCACTTTTTAACACGATAATCGACATAGACGTGGGCGGAGCCGGAGGCAAAAGCTATTCTTCAATAAATGAATGAATGAAATGTATAAATGTAAATTAAAATGTAAATTCGGTCTGTAAATTCGGTCTTCCCACCTTATCAAGTTTTTAACCGTACATCTGTAAGTCTATATCAATATTAGCATTTGTTCTAATTACGAGATTCACATTTGTGCAATCAAATCAGTTTTAGCTAATAAATGTAAGTTATGTAGTCTGTTTTCGTAATGTGACCTCCATTCGCATGTCTTGGCGTCTAATTTGAATGAGCTGTCATTTGGACAGACCTTTTGTTGGACACTTGGACAAGATGTACGAGATGATAGTCAGACTGTGTAGTAACAACCGAGGCTAATATTTTTAATGAACAGATAAATTGATATTAGAGAGGAGACCGCTATATAGGCAAACGACGACTTGAGGAAAATGACTAGCGGCGGATGGTTGCGGATTGCAAAAGATCGGGATGGTTAGCGCTCCTAGGGGGAGGGCTTCGTTGAGCAAGTTGATAATGAGATATATACTAAGTCACAGAATGGTCACTGAGTTCAATTTGCACATGGGGCAATTAATTGTGTTCTGAGTAAAAGTGTGCTAGTAGTTAGTAGTTGTGGCTAACGAGCCACGACTGTTTTCTTCTGTTGAAAGTTATTTTCAACTTTTTAAGGGCTTTACATTTTAAGATTTACTTTAATAAATTAGATTTACTCTAACTAACAGCTATAGAACAATTAGATATAAATAAAATATAGTATCTAGCTGACCCGGCAAACGTTGTTTTGCCATATACATTATTTCTAGGAAATATTGAAAAAAAAAGAAGAGATATAGAGGTGGGTCACCCTTGTCATTTAGAGGCATGAAAAATAGACCTTGGTCGATTCTCAGACCTACCCGATGCGCACACAAAATTTCATAAAAACCGGTCCAGCCGTTTCGGAGGAGAATGGTAACTAACATTGTGACACGAGAATTTTAATAAAAGATAAGGACTAAACGTAAGAAGTCCGAAATCTGTTTCAGAAAATAAAATAAAAATACTCCAATTAATAGGAAAATTGATAATACATTATTCGGAAACGAAAATTATTGTTTTTAATAATTTAAAGAGAGAAAATGTCCTTGAGAAACTTATGTCTAAGGTAATAAAGGATTATTTTGCTTGGTGCCTTTGCAGCTAGTCGTTTGTTTTAAATCTTAAGAAGGAAAAAAACATTACATCCAATTACTTCATCACCAGTAATTTTAATCGCACGCACCGCAAATGACCAGTTCGCCTGACCTACCACAATATTACCTAATACATAGCCTTATTAACTGGCAAGCAAATTTACACCGTACATCACACTGTTTAAAATACAATTTACCATAACGGTAACAAGTACCTACACCTATTTACTGAAACCATGAAACTCGAAGATTAGGTAAACCGTTGGTGAAAGGTTCCGGGGAGGTGAGGTGGCCCTAGCGGGGTAGGGGGAAGTAGGGTCAATGAGCTCCACTCACGTGGACTGCTGGCGAGTCAGGAGTTCACCTTGAAGAGTATAGGTAAAGGGATTAAAACAGAGGCTGTCTTAGTGAATTGGAAAATGTTGATTGCATTTTTATACTTAGAGATACGTATTGAAACTTAGGGAAATGGTATATCACTCCCGATCTCAAGTGATTACCAGTTTCAGTAAGTTATTAACGTAGTTTTGCATGTTCCTTCCTCTAGCTCTTTTGTCGGAATTGAGTGAGGTCATAGACACAAAAAATTTGGCCCACACGAAACCTTAACCTTTCATAATTCATATTTTATTTATTTGCTGATCAAAGGTGTACAATGGTGTTACATTTTTATTTATACATGTCCTCTTCGGTCTGGCTTAACGGCATGCAAAAATTGAAAAGAAATAATTGTCAATTTATTTAGAATAATAAATTACATTTGTCAATAAATATATCAAATAAAAATGTCAGTATAAATTTTAAAATGTCAAGATGTTACAATTATACTTATAGTTACAAAAAATATATTTAATTGTCCGTGTAGTGATGGATTAAGAATACGGAATGTCACTACCCCAATTCATCCCGTGGGTGTCGTAAGACCCGACTAAGGGACACACTACGCAGGATACCAGCACTGCAAAAAGAACGCTATCTCTACTATTTAAACTAAACATGGCTGGAATATATATTTTTTGGCCTTTGAAAACTACATCTTTATGTGTGGAGTTGCCCCAGAATATTCATATCTTAAATATGACTCAGTAGTTCCAGGATAGGCGCAAGTAGTGCAACAATGTTTAAGACTGGTGTAAGTTTAAACAGAGCATATGCTGAACTACTGATTTTATTACATAAAGCCGCAATTTAATTTACTATCAATAGTTAACCCTAAAACTTTCGTTGTGATAACTTCACAAACTAATTTTTACGTTAAAGTTTGTACGTACAAATTTTTACTTTAATTTGTACTTACAAACTTTAACGTGGGTAGTCTTTATGTCAATTGCATTAACTTAGTTTTGGTATATTTATCTTAAGGTTGTTATTGTCAAGTAAATTTATTTAATTTAATAGTGCAGCGTTTATATCTTTTTGATATTTTGTTTCATTTCTACATTCTATGGTAACTGTACTGTCATCCGCAAATAATGTAATTTGATGATCAGTTACTTAACGCAAGTCAATAATGTATAATATAAACATCAAGGGACCCAAAACAGTACCCTGCGAAACACCATATTTCATTTTTCGCGTTTGAGAGATGTACGTTTCTTCTTTTTGAGTTGAATTGTTTACGTGTTAAATTTCTACGTATTGATGTCGGTCGATCAAGCTTTACAAGTAGGATTTTATGATCCACATAATCAAAAGCTTGAGTCATATCACAGGTATCTTACTATCTCTTTTTTCTATAATATCTCACCCACCTCAACTTTAACTGATTACCAAAATACTTTAAATTACTGTTTTATGATAAAACAGACCAAGTGCGTGTCGGGCCACGTGTAATATAGGAAATATTAACATAAATATATTTTTATAAGTAATTTACTTTGTAAGTAGTTTTCCAAGTAGATCCTTTTTATGACTTAACCACGACACTGTTTCTACTTAATTCGTTGTGAATGCTAGCATGTTGTATAACATTATGATTTTTTAAGCCTATAGTTTAGTCTGTAGCGAAGATTTAATATTTCGCAAACTGATCAATAAAACGTAAAATCACCTTCCCTTTCTTCTCGATAGGTCTTGCAAAAACATTCAAATGTTAAACTCGCTTGCAAGACCTATTGACTAACCATGCTGTGAGACAGATGAGAACAACATCATATCCACTTTACATATAAGTAGGAAATGTTTTATTTACCCACTTTCTTGGCGTAATTAAGATACTCGTATGTAGTGGCTAATGCTGATATGTAATTCTGAGTATACAATAACAAGCGCTGACTGTGTGTACCTACGCGAACTACCACAGCCAGTCGTTGTTGAGTTCTCGTTACCGATACTTGTATCTGTGTAATTCCTGAGTAAGAATAAAGTAATATTTGGTGATCACCTGCACACAAGACCCGACATGCAGACCAGATAGTGACCTAAACGATAGTGGTACAAACACTACAGTGGTGACCCGGATATATTATTTTGTGTGCAGAGAGACGCATACCTATTATAATATATAATTTTCTAGACTAGACTAGACGGACAGACAGACATAAATATCGAAACTAGAAGTATTCTATGTTAGTAATACAAAACCCTAAAAAGGGGATTATCCATTTAATTATCTTTGCATTTCATTATCAACAGATAAGTTCTAATGGTTATAAAAACCATTAATGAATCCATTTGTATAAAACAAATGGATTCAAAAACTACCCACTCAAAAGCGATTTTGCCTTCCTGAAAGTAGGTAATTTTTCGAAAAGAATGTATTACAATTAATCCGTATTGAAGTCGTCTGTATTTTAATTAAAACATAATTATTATGTTGTTGTGTTATACAATACTGTACTGTCATAATCGAACCAAAATAATGTTAATGACCTTACGCCGGTGTGGTTGCTCCACACGCTCGCCGGTCGCTGGCGGTTGCGTCACAACTATCCGAGGCTCGACTAGCCTGGTAGCGCGTCAAGCCGGCGTTATTGGCTCTTTGGCAACCCACAACCGGTTGTGAGGAACTACTAATAACATATTAGTTAACATTAACTAACAGGCCTATTTAACAGTTTCCTTGTAATACTTTATTGGTTTCGTTCATATTTGTCATTGTCATCATCATCACCTTCCTGCACTTTCTCAATTTAACTAGGGGTTAAAATTGCAAAGGGTTTTAAGGAGTTTATTTTACAGTCAGCTGCCTGCCTAACGCTAATTCCTGTTGAGAATGTAATCGTTTCCAGTCGGGACAAAGGATGCCGATAAATTGGTTTAAGAAAGATTGATAGGGAGAATGGAGCTAAGGTAAGGGCTTCTACAAGTCTTGTCGAGTCGACTAAGGGAAAAAATTAAGCAGAACAACAGCACTGCAGAGAGAAGGGAAACTTGACACAAATTCTATATCAACCCGTCTGGCCAGCGTGGTGTAGTAGGCCAAAACCTCCTTTCTAAGGAGAGGCCTATGTCCAGCAGTGGACTACTAAAGGCTGTTGATGATTTATGATACATAGGAATAGTTGGTGAGGTGACAAGGAGAGAAACCTTAAATAGCCGATACATAACGATCGATCTGGATTTTTCGCTGCGATCAAACAATTTTTGGTTGAGTATTTCCGATTGGCAGGAATTAGCACCTCGTCTCTGGAGATTCAGACGATAAACAAGATTTCGATCTACTTATCACTTGATGGCGGAATAAAAGAGTAATTAGAGGAAAGCAGAAGTTACGGGAACCTATACAAACCTCAGTGGTTTTTGGAGTCCGAGCCATTACATGTTTTTTTATTAAATAATTAAATAAAAAAATATTCTAGGACATTTAGTTTAGGATCAGACGTGCGTGTGTAAGTTATCTCAACCTATTGGACTAATCCTTACTAAAGAAAACTCTGGATAAAGCTTCATGGAAAAAGGAACAGTTGAAAAAGAAATGTGAGAGTGAAGGTATTTCGAGAGAAGATTTCCTCTGCTAAACGTATACATGGCGTAGTGCTTACTACTACGCTAAGTGTTGTGGGTCTGATCCCCACATGGGACGACACTTTGTGTGTTCCACAAATTGTTGTTCTGGGTCTGGGTGTTCTTTGTGTCCGTTTCATGTATGTTAGTAAAGTCCCCCCGACACAAGATATATTCCTAAAGCGGAAGATGTCCTAAAAAAAACTAAAACACAAAAAATGCACTCCTTTAAACATCACTCGTCTTTTATCACGTCGAATAGAAGCCACGACCGCTGGCTTATCCGGCATGGTCGTAAGCCACCTCAACAACAGGCCCGTCTCATATTTTTATTAGTCACTTTTGTAAAAGAAAACATGAAAAACTTCCTTAAAATCCGAAATGTATTTAAATATTAGAACATTAAAGAGCTAAAATATTTTTAAAACATGCAATATTACGTTAAAGCCATAAAAATAGCTTGCTCTTGCACATCAAACAATATTTTTTCTACAATCTGGTTTCACAGACAGTCATAATTGTTTAGCATGTGTTTGTATTCATTGAAATATAAATAGTTGTTTGTGGAGTAAATGTGAATAATTACATAATGTTGTATATGTGAACAATAGTGTACGCGCTTTCTTTTCGTCTTGTCCTCATATATTATTTTCGTCATATCGCGAAGTTTTTTTAAGAATATTTGTAATAATTAACTACTAATGAGTTAATTACGTACAGTTTCTTTTTAACTTTTTTTTTTCTTTTTTAGTTAATAGATCTGTTTGTTTATTTTTATTGTAGAAGGTAAACGAACAGACATGCAATTTAAGACTCAAAAGTATATCGAAGAAGCCTTTAATTGCCCTTGAAATATCCGATGTATTTGTAACCTTTTAACTTATAAATTAAATATTCGAAATTATTAGTATTAAATAAAATTAAAGCACTAACGAAAAATATTTATCTAAAATAATTATAGTTTCCTTTCTTCATCAAAATAGTATATTATATAATTATTATATAATTCTTTTTTATTATATTATATAATTTTAACTGCTGATTTTTTTTTCATAATAGCCACCAAAGTCTTAAAAGGACTTTTGTGTTTAATGCAGTTTAAAGTGCGGTGAAACGATTTTTATGATTTTCAGCCACATTTGAAATCATAAAAAAAAATCTCAATATGATCTATTATGGTATTGAAACTGCTTGTTGTTGATTTGTTTTTTTCGTCGTCTTGTGAATGACCCTATATTTTAACTAAAGAGTGCATAACTAAATATTATTACACACATTCAAAAACTATAAACTGGCAGAGTTCTCATAAATTGTATTGTGCAGCGCTACTCTGCCAACTGGGTGGACAACTTCAATCACACACGGCTGCACCGCGGCTACTGCCTGGACCGCCGGTGCGCGCCATACGCGCCCTCGCACCACCAAATGCAAGAGCCACTACCACGCGATACTTTGCAAACTTGGTAAGTGGACAATACGTACAAACGCTCATACACACATTACGATCATAGTATTTTTGGACATCTAACACACAAACCCATCTAGTTTCAAACTAAGCAGAGCTTGTACTATAAAACCAAGACTGACTGAGAGAATACTTATATACTTTTTTGTAAATACATATATATTATACATAGAAAACGCCCAAACTCCAAAACAGATATTTGCAGATCATACATATTACTGAACAAACATATAAACCGAACGCGTTGATGTCTTTTGTATCGATAGCGGTTTTATAGCAATTTCATATAATTATTGGAAATGTCACTATTATCACACACAAAATGACCACCATTACAATTTAAATATCATTTTCACAAAAATTTCAAATATTTCCTACCACAGCTACAAGAGGGTGAACGTATAAATTTCATCAGAGTTATGTAGCGACATTCATATTTACTAATATTATCTTAAGCGTTAGCTAATGGCTGTTGCAGATGTTTCCAAACATCATTAAATTATATCAATATTTTTTTATGTATTTTTAGTAATGACCGACAAGCAATACTTGTATCGGGACATACATATATCACCAAAATACATTTCAACGCCATCTAGCGAATACTTGCCGCACTACGCAGTAACAATAACTCCTACATCGCGCAATCTGGATTATTACGCTGATTTGTCTACAGAGTGTTATGTACAGATAGGTGTGACAGAGTTTTGACTTTTTGTAACGAAACTTTATTTTACATAATAAAACAATAGAGCATCGTAAAGGAGCACATTCCTATGAACGAAATTACCGTACACTTTGTAAATCGACTTACCATCACTCTTTTTATCTTGACAATAGTGAAGTCAAACCTTTAATTAACCGTTAATAACAAGTATACATTCACGATGGTGAGTTGTGTGAGTGAAAAGGCTTAAAAAAGTAAATGAACCGAAATTTGCATTTCAAATTTTATAAATAGAATAATTACATAAGACATTTATATAAATGCTGTCGCAGTAAGAGTGCACTTTTTAAATTTAGTAATTTTTTTCGTGCAAGTGGCAAACTTTTCGAAAGAACAACACGTTATAATTGTGAAAACTCATTAGGAAAATGGGGAAAGTTACGCTGAAACCCGTAATGTGTTAACCATTTGAAGAGTGGTTAAAAAATTTAAAGAAACTGGGTCGAAAATGGATATTTATTATCTAATTTTTACCACTTAAGTTTATTCTCAAATGTAATGCTAAGAAGGGCACTTTCTTCGAGAGATTGGGTCTCAGACTGTTATACACAATTATCTTGAATAAATTAATTATTATTATTACCTTCCACATCGCGCATGAAACAATCGACTTATTGCATCAACGATTGCCAGAACACTTTTTCTCACGACGAAATTCTGACGTCAACTGGCCACCAAGTTCGTGCGTCGTGTTTTGTGAAATCTCGGGTTTATGCGAATAAACCAGAAACAATTCCTGAGCTCAAACCATTGATCCAACGCGACATCGGTGAGATACAGCCACATCTCTGTGTAAAAGTCATGGAAAATTTTATGAAAAGAGTAATGGCCTGTCGTCAAACCGTGGGGTCCATTTGCCGGATATTTTATTCCATACTTAATCGGAACATGTCTTCTTTACAATGGAATAAAAATATCACTACTCTTTCATAAAATAAGTGTTTTTATTTTAAAATGAAAAAGTGTACTCTTACTGAGACACCTTTTAGAACAAGAAATTTTTAGGACAAATTCCTTTTCTTTTAAGTTAAACATAGAAGAGAAGACCCTGACATACTAAAGATTAATTCTATCAAACTGTTCCAAATGAACAGTGCTGTCGCAAAGTGAAGTTATTAAATGTTGGTGAATGCTATTATTAGAGAACCGGATTGTAGAACTGGCGCAACTCAATACGAAATTGTTGTAACAGCAACGATGGACAATATTCTACCAATGGGTCCATATAAATAATGATATATCATTTTTCGGACATCTTTTTTTTGTTTTAAACAACTCCCGCACTAGGAATATGACCTGTGTCGCGGGAGTCTTAACAATCATACGGACGGAAGGAACACCCAGACTCAGAACAACAATTTGCGGTTGTTCCATGCGGGGATCGAACCCACAACACTCGGCGACGTGGCCGCTTAAACCACTACGCCATCCGTGCACTCATCTTACACACAACGACATCTAGTTTCAAACTAAGCAGAACTTGTAATATGAAAGCTGGATTGACTGATAGAATACTTATTTTACTTTTTTTGTAAGTACGTACATAAAAAACATTTGGTGCGACCCGGGTATCGAACCGAGAATTTAATATTATTATCAATCACCTAATTATCTTTTTTGATAATCTATAGGACAAACAAGCAGACGGGTTACCTGATGGTAAGTGAGTACCGTCCGGATACTGTAAGGGGAGGGCCTCAGAGTTATGAGATGAGGGAGGGGCAGTGTGTTGAGCCTACGGTCACAGGAAGACAAATAATAGTTAGTCACATATGTATTGGGGGGCTCGTTGCATTGGGGTAACCTAGTAGTTTAGGACATTGCAAAGTTAAGCAATCTCCAGGTCAGTCTTTGGATGACCATTTGGTAATCATAACACAAGTCGTGGGTTCGATTCTCACCCAAAGCAAATATAGTGTGATGAGTATTTGTTCTGTTTCTGCGTGTAATTTATCTGTATATATAACATATGTATCTATTTAGAAATATAACATATGCTTGGGGACGCCAATATGCTTAAACGGGTATCTCCACAGAACAAATTAAATCATAACCAAAATCCAACTAACTTTGTTTAACAAAAAGCAATTGTAGTAGAAATAATATTATATCTCTATTATATATATTATATATATATATATATATATATATATATATATATATATATATATATATATATATATATATATATATCTATAAGACACTTTTACGTCGGATGACATAATGTGACAGAAACTCTTACTAAAAAAAATACAGTGCAATATTAAGGTTAGAGATATTAATTAATTACTATTTAATTGGTGTACTTTTTCCCAAAATAGGTTCACAACGTGTGTGAATGCGACAACCACAGCCGCCTACAACTTTTCCGCTCGTCTCTTCAACCTGGACTACTGCAAGACTGGTTTTGAGGAGAACAAGCCCCTGACTGCGAGCCAGAGAGCGTTTGCAGGCTTCGCCGCTGCGGTGTTTGGACTCACCGTGGTATCCACAGTACTGGAAATAACACTGCCTGATCATGCAAGAAAAGGTACCAATCAGTTTTCAGGTATATTCGAATTATTAAACGTATTCAGAAGTCAGTCGCCAGCATTCTATTCTAATACATGGATCCTCTGGATGGCTATGCTTCGGCACAAATAATATAATATTCTACCACATTCACACAACGCCATCTAGTCCCAAACTAAGAAAAGCTTGTACTATGGCTACTAGACAGCTGATATAAATACATATATACTTTTATTTTTGTAAATACATACTTATTATACATGGAAACACCAAGACGAAATCAAACATTAAATGTTCATGCACACAAATGTTTGAATTGAGCGGGAATCGAACCCATTTGGAATAGCAGTCCGTTACACAAACCACTACGCCGTCCGGTCGTCAAATGGCTTGGCTCGACCGGAGAGTTACCACAGCCTGACAGAAAAACGATGTTAAACAATTCCTTCGTTGTATTTTAACGAGTGAGTGAAGCTACCGAATACTTAACTGACACCCCTCCCCTAAACCAGTTCTGGCGGGTTCACTCAAAGACCGCCCACGAACTTGTCTCTTGATTTGTAGGTGATCATCATTATCATTAGGTGATATTTCTGCTCCTTTACCATAAAAAAGGAAAAACAAGTAGGAAACCCAAGGACACTCTCACCACATCTATTTCTGTGTTTTGGTGACTAGAGCTTGGTCTCTTTTCGTTTAATATATCTCGCCAGTAGACAATTTTCTAATATGGAAACAGAAGATTGTGATGACTGTGTAAAAGGCCTGCAACGCGTTTGCGACTCCTGAGTTGCAGACGCTCATTGGCGGCGATGGTCACTTTCCATCAGGTGACCCGTCTGCTCGGCTGCCCCCTCTAACATAAAAAAAACTACACAATATCTTTGTCACTTATAAACCAATTTCAATACTTTTTTATTTAATTGGTTGTAATCAAGTTTGATTCTATTTAAATTTATTCATTCCATTTATAACTAATAAAATTCAATTTAAACTCATAGGTAACACATTGATAGCTCCACTTATTAGAACTTGAAACCGACAGCCAGACAATATAAAACTTTGCCAATCGGACTATGACTTCACTAACACCATAAATCGGAAAGTCAATTTGTTTACATAATATTTCAACAAATGGTCATGAATCGTGACCGAATTCGCTATGGGTATCGCGTGGGTTATTGAATTATTTCGTAAACTAAACCATGGGTAGCCATCTGACAAGTTTACTATTGAACTTCTGAAAAATGAAAATTTAGAAAAACATGTCCCGTTTACCGCCATGGCACTATGATATACAAGCGAGCGCAATGAATCACATAAATATAGGTGAAAATTTCGAAAGCAAGTAATGCTAGATTAGTTAAAAAAAATAAGAGACAGTTTAATACTTCTTAAATGAAAGAGTTAACATTAATTTGTTACTTTGTATTAAGTTCTTTAAAATTACCTTTAAAAAACTTGCAATAAAACAACTATAGAAAAATAATTTTTTTACAACGTGCAGCTATAACTGCGCTTATGTGACAGAGATTGTGACAGAATACCACTCCATATAAATATAAGTTTCTCATATCCCCAACATATTTTGCGTATTTTGAGCCATTTTGAGCTCTGAAAGGGTAATTAGGGGAGGGTTTAACGAAACCCTTCCCTAATTACCCTTTCAGAGCTCACGCATCGTCCAAGTCTTCCAAGTTTCCCGCAAATCCATTTCTATAAAATGTCGATTTCCAAAACTTGCCAATACTCACGAACATTACAAAACATTAAGTAAGCCAATCGATTACAGTGTTAATCGTTGGCAAGTTTATTGGGTCAGTATAGTGGCACATTACACGTGCGCTACTGCAAACAAAACCGGTTTCGTCAATATAAACAAAGCCTCGGAGAGTGCTTCTCTCACACCACTATTAGCGCTCGCCACGATATTTTTTCACGGTCTAAAAGGTTATTGTCCGTGTCTGTGTGTTACGAACGAGTTTGACTTTCATTCGAACATAACAATCATTATAAGTGTACCCGCGCACTGGTGATTTTTAATCCGTCGACAATTTAGTCGCTATCGTCTGACGATAGTAACGAAACCATCGGTCAATAATGCATGATTAAGACAATGTTCGTTCTACAATGATTCGTCGTGTTCTAAAACCACGCCGCACTATATATCTATATCCCCGTATAAAAACTATAGGCCGACTGTTTAATTAGACGCCTTTCATATAAAAAGCATGGGTTGTACGACGAATGCTTCTTGAGTTTTTTGTGTTGGCAAGCGGTGCAGTTTTGTTCGAGTGCTGTACTCATTGAAACAACAGCGTAACAGAAAATTAAAACAAATATTTCATAGAAAACTGAAGGCAGTATATCAAATGTAATATGGAAAAATTGCCACATCAAAAAGTCAACATTGGGATAGGGACGAATCTTTTTATTTACATCACGTGTCATCGGATTGAAAATGTGTGCTTATGTAAACGTGTGATAATCCAATGTTTAAAATATCCGTTAGGATGGTAAAGAACTTGACCAAAACGCATATTCATTGAACTGAACATGTATACGTACTGAGTACTCGACAGCGAGCGAATTTGATGCATGCACATCGCACTTTACACACTTTACGCAATGACTGATAGTTATTGGATAGTTTAATTTTTGTTTCTTTGTTTCTTTTAAAAAGACAACTCCCGGTCAAGGAGACAAATGGAGCAAACTACGCAGGACAACAGCACTGCAACGAGAAGGAACACTGGAAACAAATGCTATAGCAATCCGTCTGGTCTGCATGGTATAGTAGGCCAAAACCTTCTTTCAGTGCAGTGAACTACTAAAGGCTGTTGATGATGATGATGATGAGAACGATACAACTATTGCCGATTAAAAATCACCAGTGCACGATAGCTCTTAACCAATAGGCGTGTGATGCGTCGTCTCGCATGGGTTGTCCCAATGTGTAGTAAATTTAATGCTCAGTCAATGCTTATTAATGCAAATTTCTTTATCTGAGATTAATACAACATAATTATTACAGATAGAGCCTGTTGATAAGCCCTTTAATATAAAATTATAAATACAAAGTAGGTATCGATTTCTACGGAACATTCGAGAGTAACATACTGATCTTACAGGATGTAATACAAGACTTTATATACATCTTTAAACATATTTTCAACTTTTTAGTTAAGTTTACTTTTTAAGCGTATTGTTTTGATTTTTTTCAAATTATGATTGTCTTTTAGCCTTATGTCACTAGCTTTTGCCCGCAGCTCCGCCAGCGTGTATCTCGATTAGCGCGGTAAAAGCCTATGTTCTTTCCCACAACTCAAACTATGTCCATACCAAATGTCATCTAAATCGGTTCTGTGGTTATTGATTAACCATACATAATTCCACTCCCTTTTTCAGCCCCTTGAAAGTAAAATTTCTGGGATGAGAACTATAATAATATAATAATAATAATATAATTTATTGTCTCAAAAAGATACATACAGTAAAAACACACATAAGTTATAACAATTCAACATGTACAATAGTTTTGTTGACCTCTGGTACCCAAAGTAAGATTTAACTTATCCTATCCTATGTCCTTTACCGGGACTCAAACTATCTCTATACCAAATTTTATCTAAATCCGTCAAGCAGTTTAAGCGTGCAGAGACAACAGACAGACAGACACACTTTCATCATTCATCATCATCATCAACAGCATTTAATAGTCCACTGCTGGGCATAGGCCTCTCCTTAGAAAGGAGGTTTTGGCCTACTATACCACGCTGGCCAGACGGGTTGGTATAGGGTTTGTGGCAAGTTTCGCGCAAGTTTGGCGCTAGGAGGGGTCCGGATGTCTTAACAACAGCTGTTCCCGGATCCCTCCTGTTACAGGCGCAGAGTGTCACACCGTGTGGTTTTAGTCGGTCCGAGTCCGACACACCACCCCGCCGCAAACCCCGGAGGGGTGACGGTCCGAGGGGATTTCCACACGTTAAAAAAAAAAAAAAAACGTTTGTTTCAAGTTTTCCTTCTTTTTGCAGTGCTGGTGTCCTGCGTTGTTTTGTGCCCTTAGTCGGCTCTTACGACACCCACGGGATGGACACACTTTCGCATTTATAATATTAGTATGGATTGGTAATTGATGTTTCCAAATTTTTTAAGTTGATCGGACTGAAGTTGGTTAAGACTACATTGAAGGTGGTGTAGGAGTGATTCGTGGAGTCTAACGGTAGCTGATATAATTTACATGATTTGAAAGGTTCAGAATGGGCACTCTCCTGGTCCCTCCAAGGCTCCTGGCGCACGCTACACGCACCCCCGCCGAGCGCCTCCCGCACCGACCTGCGGTGCTTTGACGGGCTACGAGTGCTGACCATGGCCGTCGTTATTATTGAACATGTCACCTGGATCCTGACCCACACGTATCTCAGCAACACGAGGATGTACGAGCAGGTTTGTTGCTATCATAGATATGTTCTGCTTTTACTCAAAGGTTAAGAACAATTTACTTAATATGACATTAAAACCTAACATCTGCTTTTAAATGCCTCTTTGCAGTGATTCTTGTTTATAAGATCACATTCATCCCAAGTAGTTTTGACTAACTGCAGGCGACTGAAAAAACTGCTTAAAGGATTATTTCTTGAGTTGTTTTTAGTTACTTAGTTTAAGTTAAAAATGGATCATAAGTGATGTTGTCATCATGATGTTACAATGGAAAGGGTTATCGTCTGCGGCTTTTCCGGACCGATACGACCTGTAAACCTTCAAGTAAAGAAAGTTTCCTCAAAGGCCGGCAACGCGCTTGTGACTCGTGAGTTACAAGCGTTCATGGGCGGCGGTAGTCGCTTTATATTTGGTGACCCGTCAGCTCGTTTGCCTCCTATTCCATAAAAAAAATGTAGAGCATTTGCAAGGAAATAATAACTTTTTTTGTACATTTTTTACAGGCTTTATATTAGCTTCACTTGTATGTTTGTTTGTAAGTTTGTAACCGACTCCTTTGGGCGTGATTTTAACTGACTTTAAACGGTCAGAACGGTCGAGGACCGATGACAATACACTAATTAAAAATTTTTTAAAAAAAACTAAAAAACACGCTTTTATAGAAAACCAAACTAAAAAATAGAAAATAAATTTTAATAGATTTAAAAAAAAGCGTGGGGTGCTTTTCACTATTGACAACAGGCAAATTAATCTCAATCTCAAAATCTAATAAAATCTTTTTAATTTACGTCAAACTGTACTTTTTTGTGTAACTGATCATTTTCTAACAACGTTTCATTATTCAGAAAAACGAGATTTAATCTTACGTATGAAGAGGTAGGGGGGTTCGAAAACTCTTATGTATAGGTGGGTAGGGGGATCCAAAATCGTTAAACTCGTCCTTACGTAATCAAATTATAGAGAAAATTATAATATTTTTTATGTTTACAATCACAAATCACAGCATATTTAGAATGAAAACATTTACGTTGTGTGTTATGATTGTAAGTTTAACCATAGAAGATCTGTGTTCACCGTGGCAGGTGTGAGTCGGCTAGACCGGAGCGATACCGCGGCCGCACAGGAAACTGCTGTTAAGTTATTCATTTGTTGTATTTTGACCGAGTGAATGAGTTTACCGGCAACCGCCTCTCCCATGAACCTGGGGGTAGGAGAACATTCCAAAGCCGGCCAAGCACATGCCACTCTTAGACACAGGTCTGCACGTTTGTCGCCCTTACCATGAAAAGCACTAATACTTATCGATAAGTATCATACTGTTACTTGTTAGAGTTCGTTGATTTAGAATAATAAACCTGACGAATAAAGAGACTTTATTAAACACACTTAAAAACGTTCAAACAATACTCAATAATAGTCCGGATTGATCGCAGAGGTCGCTGGGTTACACTTTTAATCGCTTGAATCGCTTTGATGTCTATCGCGCTGTAGCTCGAACTAAACTGTCTCCGACGAAGACGTATCTATATTTATAATTCTCGTCAAATGTCTAAACAGCTCTTTACAGCTTAATGTAATCCCTAGGTGAACTTTCGGTTTCTGAGAAATGCAAATTCGTTTCAAATGAAAACAACATAATCGGGCAACGTTCTATTTTCGATCTTATTCGTATTATCATAGAAACCATTGTTTCGTGCGTTACATTATTATTAGAACTCTTTCTGGAATTGCGCAGTTAAATTAATTCTCGTTTTCTTTCTCGAACATTCGTGATATCCGTGACAATACTGTTTTATGGTATAACATCGAAGTGAATTTAAGGATTGAATAAGAATGCAATCATAAAAACATTGGTTATGATCACCTGTAAGTTAATTTTTATAGGTAAAACCCATGACGGAATACTTAAAAAACAATAAACACGCGGAAGTAAGATCTTGGATATCGAAGATGACCGATGAATGGATTAAAAAGATTTTTGGGAGGAAAGGATATTTAGGAGTTTCTTTTTTTTATTGAATTTCAAAAAAGCAGAAATATCTTTTAAGTGAGAAAAGTGAGAGAATGTCGTTCACAATATAATAAGATAATCTGGACTTTTAAATAGGCTAAGTGTGCTAACATGTATTACATGTGAAGGTAGACCGTTATAAAGTTAACCTTCGTAAGTTATTTTTTTTCCATAATTGGTTCTTATCTTTTTTTTAGAATTAATCTAAATCAATTTGTATTCTTTAGTATACATATATTTTGAAGATAAGTCATGAACGTTGTAAAAAAGGAAATATAGAACAGAAAATCATAAAACAAATTATAAATACTATCCGAGGCCTCAATAGAAACTATACAGAGTGTGATAAACGTTGTTGGCAGATTCGTCATGATGTGGACGCGGTACTTCTAGCAAATAGTACACTGGTAGTACAAATCTTCTTCACTATGTCGTCTTTCCTGCTCGCACACAAGCTCCTTCAGCAAAGGAGAAGAGGAGACAGCGTGCCGCCTATCAGCACCTTCACAGAGACCATGGTTAATAGGATTATCAGGTTAGTGGAGGAAGGTCTTAGAGTTTAAAGCGACGTATGTCAAATAGATGTCAGTGTCAGTCTTACAGCTTAAGTCCAGGGTTCCCAAAGTGTGTGTCGTGGTGCCCTGGTTCGCCGTAGAATGTAAAGAGGGCGCCGTGAGTCGATCCTTTATCATTATCCGAAACCATTAGTATACGCGGGTCACAACATTATTTTGAGTAGTGTATTACGTCGTCGTTGCTCACTCGCCAATAAGTTAGTTACTAGAAAACCGTTAATACCCCGCCCCTCTTACGCCTTGACACTTGTTTATTTACAAGCGTGTTACGTACAGAACCCCAAATAGTATTGCAGACGTAGCATATTAGCCGACAACAATAGACTCTTTCGATGTGCCGACGCAGCAGTTGCGTAACCGAAAATGGCGGAAACCTAACGCCGACGTCGACGACGGGACGAGGCACTGACGCAGAAAAAAATATTATAAAGAATTTAGATAATTTTATGCGCATTCCTGATCTGACTTGTAGTTTCTTTGCCTTTTATTAAATTTATTTTAAATAAATTTGTTTCTTTTTCGAACGTCCGGCTCAATGTACGTAATTAACGAGTCGCGAAGGGACGGATGTGTCTATCTAGGGTCATAACAAAATACTAAATTTGTAAGTGCGGCGCGGGCTGAAAAAGATTGGGAACCCCTGGCTTAAGTTGTATCACATCACACCAAATCAACAGTCTTTAATAGTCCACTGCTGGACATGGGCCTCTACTTAGAAAGGATGTTGTTTTTTTTTTTTTAGTGTTGTATGAAAACTATTTCCCCTTTGTCTTTTGAAGATAAGCTAAAGTACGCAGCAGCTACTTAGAATTTTCAAAATTAGTTCAGGTATGGAGTTCTAAGGTAAAATACAAGATTTGAGAACATCCTTACTTTTCAAAGTCGGTTAAAAAGGACTAATAAAATCACTCTTGAATGGAAATTAATTGATATTATATCTTCAGGGTCAGTCCAAGTTACTTCGTGGTGGTATGGTTTGCAGCATCGTGGTGGGAACGCCTAGGACGAGGACCGCTGTGGGAGCCGCTGGTCCATTCGGAAGCTGCCATATGTAGACAGAAGTGGTGGACTCATCTGCTGTACTTGAACAATGTGCTCTACGCGGAAGACAAATGTCTGATACAGACTTGGTAAGTCCTATCCTATCCTATCTTGAAAAAAGATTATCCTGACTTTACAAAAATACATAAAACAGACACAAAGAACACCCAGACTCAGAACAACAATTTGTGGATCACACATATGGGGATCAAACCCACAACACTCGGCGTAGTAGGAAGCGGCGTGGCGACCGCTTAAACCAATACGCCATCCGTGCAGTCTGTGAGAAATAACAGTTTTGTACAGAATTGGCGACCATTGCCGGTGATGAATATCAGAATATACATCAAAAAACCTTGAATTTAAATATCGCTAAAGTTAGGAAATGTCTTACTAGGCTTAATCAACCAATCAGCTTATTGTAGACCACTGCTGAACATAAGCCTCTTTTAAGGAGTGTTATAACACTCTGTCATTCGGCATCCAATTTACCTCTTGCTAGCATCTATCTAGCTTGGCTTGTTACATGCTATTTTTCTCTGGATATTAAACTTGGACCCAGAAATTCTACTTATACCAAACGTTCTATCTTACCCAGGTACCTGGCAGCAGACACTCAACTCTACGCCCTCTGCCTTATTCTGACCCTCGCACTATGGCGCTATCGACGAGCAGCTATCGGTGTACTCCTAACCTTGCTCGTCACCTCAATAGTTGTCCTCTTTGCTCTCGCATACCAGTGGAACTTGGTCCCGACTCTGATGATGCACCGACCTGAGTCGGTGAGGGTGTCGTATAAGGGAGAGCCTTCGTTCAACGTGCTGTACCAGTCGCCTCTGGCCAACGTGAGTGGTGCACTTGCTGGGCTGCTGCTAGCGCATATACACCACACGTTGCTCGACAATGATATCCAGCTGAATCACCGAAAGGTAATAAAACCGTTTCCTGATATTTCTAACTTTGTACCCTAACTTATTATAAACGAACGTGTGTTTGATTTAGTACCTAGAGTACCTTTTATATAGCAGAACAACAACACTGCAAAGTGAAGAAAAACTTGAAACCCTAAACCAACCCGTCTGGCCAGTGTGGTATAGTAGGCCAAAACCTCCTTTCTAAGGAGAGGCCTGTGTCCAACAGTGGACCATTAGAGGACCAGACCATTGATGATGATGATGATGAAATGTGAAAGTAGGGAAAGATATCTACATATGCTTATTTTAAAACAAAATTTTATTCCCTCATATAGAAGTATTTTTCTTCTACTGAATGAGATCGTGGGCATTAATCAGTCATCTAAAAACACTAACGGCATGCGTATTGTATACTTTATGTAAAATTTATAATCACTGGTGTAGTGAAGGCGTAAGAGCGTAACGAACAAACAAACTTACTTTTACATTTTATAATAACAATTAGCGAAAAAAATAATTAAAAAGTTTTACATAAATATATTTTTTTATTTTATTTCAAAAGATTTACAAACACTCGTGTAATAGTCACAAAGAGCACCCAGACTCAGAACAACAATTTATAGATCACACAAACCCACAATACTCAGCGCAGTAGGAAGTGGCAAGGTGACCGCCTAAACCACTACGCCATCCGTGCAGTCAAATATACAAAGAAGGACATACAATATTAAGGATTCTTCTTCGTCCCTCAACATTTATAATAAACACACTTCAGATTTTATAGCCGTGAGACAAATAAACTGATAAATACTGTATAGCTGATCGTTATTGAAATTCAGAAGAGACCGTCGCCTAAGAAACATTTGTGCTAAATTTCATGCTTCTAGACCCAACGGTTGCAGCTGTGTGTTGGTCGATCAGTCAGCGAATCAGCCTGTCAGTTTATTCTTGTATAGATATAGATTTATCAGTAGTCTGGCTACCGCAGCACAGACTGCCTAATTGCGGTGTGATATATCTCAAGTTATTATTAAAACAATACACGTTATTTTGGAAATGGAATGGAAACAACAGAATAATCCTATGAGGGTTTAAACTTACAATACGAAGTAGGTAAAATAAGTAAATAGACTTTGATGAGCTTTTTGGTATAGTGGTTAGTCATTAGCACTGCTGAATAGCCATAGATTAGGCCATAGATTCGATAACATTCATTGAGTGAACGAAACCCCCAATCTTGCAATATAGGCAACGAGAGAGATGGATAATAGAAAGTTTTCTCTATCTCTTCTATGCGAGCTCTGTGGTTGGCTGTGGAAGATTCTAATCTCCTGCCTGTTTTACAATCAAAACCATGCACACTTCACGATAACTTAGCTAAACAGAGACAGAGGGAACTATCGGGCATCCAACTATTTTATTGTTCCAGTTAGTTGTTCCACGCTTCCTTGTTCTCTCTATGCTTATATATCTATGATATTGCTTGTTATTATTTAATATATATAGACGCTACGACACACCGGTCGTGTCAGAATCAAATGGACTAAAACAACCCAGTATCCATCCCATCCAACCAATGATAAATAAAATAAAAAAAAATAAAAAAGCCTTTTATTTCTCACAGAAAATGCTAATTTACAAGTTTATTAGTTTTGTTAGTATCAAGAAAAGTTTTTTTTTGTGGTTTGATGATTAATTGTTAGTATTTTCAGTTTTATATAAAGAATTTTAGATATGTTATTATCATAGATATAGTAAAACCTATTTTAATAAAATTATTCTGAAAGAACCCCTCTGCAGGTAAAGGCTTCCTCCAAATTGAGCCAGTTTTCTCTGGATTGTGCTGTTTCTATCCAGTTCGGGCCCGCTATGCGTTTGATTTCATCCTCCCATCTGATGGAAGGTCTCCCTTTCTTTCTTTTTCCCACTGGCCCCCTTCATTCTCTCACTCTTTTAGTCCACCTTTGATCTTGCAGGCGTGCTACGTGGCCGGCCCACTTCCATTTTAAAGCAAGAGCTTGTGCTAAACCGTCTGTTGCTTTTGTAATGTTGCGTATTTTTGTATGCCTTATTTTATTTATTCTTTGTATCCAACCAATGAAGCACACGTAAATCAAAACCTACGTTCGCCACCACAAAGTAATTCAGTTATGTATTGCAAATTTACTTGTAACCGCGTATTTAGTTGACGTATAGTTTGTAACATTTCATTACGGTCGTATTTAAGTTGTATAACAGTATACACAGGTACATCAGTTTCTGCAAACATACATATAATAATTGCGTGACTTTCATAATCTAATAAAGAACATAAACGTGGGAGAACCATGCTTCCGTACAAATAAACCGCAGTGTTACTAGGACGACAAATCTTTTGTAACTTTTCACCGAGTTGAGCGATTGAGCCCACCATAAATCGGGCTGGGGTACTCTAGGGCCGACAGCGCACTTGTGAACCACCTGGCCTCAATAGAATGCGGTCGGAACAGTTTCGCACTTTCGTATTTTTCTAACTAGGTGAGACCAATGACTCCACTGCTAGACATAGGCTTCTCCTTAGAAAGGAGGTTTTGGCCTACTATACCACGCTGGCCAGACGGGTTGGTATAGGGTTTGTGTCAAGTTTTCCTTATCTTTGCAGTGCTGTTGTCCTGCGTAGTTTGCTCCCTTAGTCGGCTCTGACGACACCCACGGGATGAATAGGGGCGGTGACACTCCGTGTTCTTAATCCGTCGCCACACGGATAGTTTGGTAAACGGTACACAATTATTTGGGTGGGAATTCAACCCACGAGCTCTGGCTTAGCAGTTGTCACTAACCACTAGACCAACAGGTCCGCTATTAATTAAATAAAGTGTTTTATATAATCTAGAAAATCTGAACTCGCTTTGGACAAGTTTAATAGGGGTTCAAGTATTCGCCAGTTACCTAGGCACCTAGCTACAATTATCAGTTCCACTCCACACCTAGTTACGCAAGAAACTACTACTACTATTAACTGTGTAATGGATGTTAAATACCACTACTATCTCAATGGACTTACCGTTGGAAATAAATGATTCTCGAGTTTGCTTCGTAATCGAATTTCAATCAAAATTTAAAAATGAGGAGGTTTCGGAACCACCATTGTGTGTCAACTGCCGGTTCCGAAGACTGATCTTATTCTATAAAAGAATCTCCTCCGAAGATGTGTGAAGATATATGACCACACAGTGGCGTAAAACATCATTTTAATACCAATAATGTTTCAAAAGAAGTCCATTGTTGTCCGTTAATATTTTATCACCGGTTTGCGTGTGTCGGTGTGCACCGACCGTTAAATAAATGTCACACACAAGTGTTGCTCGTATTGAACAATCATAGCTACTATTCGGATTAGGAAATTTAAATATGTGTTTTAAGTTATATTACTTGTAGTTAAAATAAAGTGTTATTAAAATATCTGTGAATTAAATCTTTCGTGAGTAACAATCTCGGCAGGCAGTAATGACTTTCCACGTATCACACACGTCCGTCTAATCTCCATACGCAGAGCTGTGATAACCATACTGAATATTTATACTAATATTGAGAATGTCCGTGTGGTGACGGATTAAGACTACGTAGTGTCACCACACCTATTCACCCCGTGGGTGTCGTAATAGCCGAATAAAGAAGGAAACTACGCAGGACAACAGCACAGCAAAGAAAAGGAAAACTTGATACCAACCCGTCTGGCCAGCGTGGTATAGTAGTTCAAAACCTCCTTTCTAAGGAGAAGCCTATGGCCAGCAGTGGATTATTAAAGGCTGTTGATGTGATGATTGTGAATGTGAAAGTTTGGATAGAAATCACAAAGAAAGGCGAAATCACAGAAAAAAAAATAGTAATAGATAAATTAAATCCACATACAAAACAATTGATAGTGTTCATCTCATAATTATTTAAGCTTGATAGGAATCGAACCCATGAACTTTGCCTTGAGTAGTCAAGATCACTAACCGTTAGACCAAAAGGCAAATTATATGCATATTATCAATAATGAGAAAATGAGTTTGTACCTTCAATCATCACGAAAATTGGCACAAACAGTCAGGAGTAAAGAAAACAGAGATAATATAAGTAGATAAGGTGAACTGTATATTCCTCTGTAAATGGTAGCGTATGGCCAGTAGACAGAGAAAGAAGACTGTTTTGATCTTTCATCTCTCTTAGCTCTCTGCACTGATTGGCTGCTGCTTTACCATGCATTTTAAAATAGCCAATCACTGACAAGAGCAGAGAGATAAAATGATTATAAAATTACAGAGTGCATTGCATCCCAAAGAAAACGACAATTTCTTAGGGATACCTGAATTATAAACGCCAGCGAGGCTGCGGAAACGACAAGAACAAAATTTTATTAAAAACCCTTTAACTGTCTAATTTTATAAACTTTGATTCGCGTTTCGACCAGGTTACACTGGGCGTCTTAATAAAGGCATGATAAATAATTTATTTATCATCCAGCCTTTAAAAGTTATTACATTTTCACGTGCAAAGGTAGCAAATAGGTATTCTAAGAAGAAATCTAAGAAGATCAAAACACAAACGCACATTAAGGAGCTATCTTATTACCGTACTTAATGTTTCTAAAGATTAGTTCCTTATATAAATAACATAACGTTACATATGTGTTCTAAGTATGTATTGAGTGTACACTTTATATCTAAGTAGTAGTTGTAAGGCCACTCGTTTAATGTACGTATAATAAGATAATGAGATGGCACATGTTTCTGTAATATATCATTTGTCAACACGTGCCTAACAACCACTCGTCACTCAGTATAATAGTTGTTAAATAAGGCAACCAGTGTAACAATATTGACTGAAATATTTATTTTAAATCTTCAAATACTCATCACCATCTCAGAGGAATAACATTAACTACCATGATGGACATAGGCCTCACCCAAGGTTCACCACAACAATGGGTCCTGTGCTGCTCGCATCCAACTGCTTCCCGCGACCAGGTCTTCGGACCACCTAGTAGACTGCCCATGCCATAATGGTTATATTAGGATACAAATCCTAATATAACTCTGAAGCGCGCTCGCTTCCAGGAAGCAGAGGGAACATGGGGTTCCCACACGGGGGGGGTCGTCTACTTGTTGTAGATGGCCCGAGGTATGTCGGGGCACCAGGAACTTCCTTTCTAGGGTATACCTGGTTCCCCGGCTATTAGTACCCGAGACGGCGAGCGGTTTTAGTCGGTTCGTGTCCGACATGCCACCGATAGGTGGTATCCGAGGGGATTTCGCCGTGTATGATGTGTAATATCTGTCATTTTTATCCTTTTTATTAATATCGGACCGCTTAAACCACTACGCTATCTGTGCAGTCATAGTCAATATAACATTATAATATCTAATTCAGTTCATAGAGATACTAGCGTTCCGCCCCGGCATCGCACGGGTGAAATGTAGATACTACCAATACTACTAATATGGTGTCAGTGTGGAGTAATCAATTATACTATTATTATGATAGGTCTTTACTACAGGACATCTTTATATGCAATGTTTATAGGCCCGCTCCGATCCTACTGGCCTCGAGACGGACATACGGCTTGATGGTCGTTGGGCCCCCGCATTTTAAACCTCTTATATCTTCTAAAATATACATTTGAATGATATGCTGTAAAGAGCAATTTTAATCTACATAAAATGTACAACGTATCTAACGTATTTAATTGGATAAGGAATAATAATGTATTGTTTAAAATTGCTTCGTAAATAACCCATTATTTTTTGTAATATTTAAAAGATAAAAATGGTTACTGTGGGTTATCCTTAGGAGATAGACATATACCACCCTAGATTTTTTTGTAGATCTTTTTAAAATATATAATTCTGTAGTACATTATTTTGGTCTATCTCGTAAGAAGTAACCATTTGTAATGTAAGCGCGCAAATCTATGTTTTTTACGCATGCATTTATAAAACATACATATAAACCTTTCCCTTGAATCACTCTCTCTATTGATGAAAACCGCGTTAAAATCTGTTGCTTACTTTAAAAGATCAAAGCGTACAACACTAAAAAAGCGACTTTATTTTATATGTAAAGACGAGCTGACCCGAGCTACTTCTTGAGCGTCTCTTAAAACGAATAAATTTGCCTTGTTTTTGCAACAATTTCATTGATGCTCGGATCGTATTGGTAGTAGCATGAGATTATACAGACGATAGCCTTCCCTTCTATAATTTTTCAACTAGAAATAGTAGGTAGTAGTAGTATCATATTAGTAAAGGTAAGAAAAGTCAATATTGAAAATAGAATACATTGCAGAAGTAGACACCTACTACGTATCATGTTTAACTTCCTCATACGACTTAGGTAATACAGGAATGTACCCACTTTAACTGTTACATTGGGTCACACTGTAATACCTAAACAGTCGCTCCGTTACTTTCTCTAAGTTACGGTAATATTCTTTAAATATATTCATTTATGTTTACTCACAATATCATATAACATATAACAATGTTACATCACTAATTAAATAACTACATTATTTAAAGTCTACTTTTAAAATATTTTATTTATCTGTAACGCAAAGGAACAAAATACGACTTGTGGTGTGTGTGTTTAGAATCTTGCATGAACTTATTTGATTCTTCACCAATATAGATAGGTACGAATGCCAAGGATAAACGTTACTCATTTGTTTCCGGAATTTAAAAAAAAAAGTAAAGTGAATCGATGTTAATGTTTGCCAGTGTCGGCAAAAGTAAGTATTTACCTGCCTATTTGTTATACAAACTTTTATTTTACGTTATAATAAGTATATTTGTAATGTTTGCGTGTCGTAGGTACGTATTAAAAATTAAATACTGAACAGAGTCATTATTATATACTTCCATATAAGAACAGAAAGCCGAGAAAGGTTGAACTTTTTGTCCCTACTTTATTAGTAATTTTTTTTTTTACCCGACTGTGTGGTGGTTCACTAAAGGAGAAATTTATTATGATTGTAAATATTTCAGGTGCCTAATGCTAAATGACTTAATTCAATGTTTTCATAAATCGTACCCGTAACTTGCATAAAATTAATAAATAAATAATTAAAACAGTTTTAATATAAAAATAAATAAAATATATAAATAAACTGTTTTACATTACACTAAACTCGGTTCAGCCGTATTCATTAAACTGTTTTATGAAGCGCAGTTCGCCGTCGGTACTTTGCTTATTTCATTGCAATAATTAATTAGGTAATAAATAATATTAGGTTAAAATAGCCATATATTGTTGAGTAAGACCGCCTTATGATTACTAAACCAAAGTTTTTTTTGTAATATTTACAGGTAACTGATACGAGACATGGCTGAATCTAAGAAGAAATATCGACAGTATAGTGTTGATTATTTAAAATTTGGTTTCTTCCATCAAAGGCAAACAAGCGATTGCCCATATGCCTTTATGCAACAAAGAGTCTATGAAACCTTCGAAGCTCGAAGATCATCTAAGAAGCTGTTAATTAAAATTTTGAAGCAAAATATTAGGCCGAGCGAATTTTCCCAGTTTTCAAACTTGCCACAGGTAGAATGCCTTGATGAGGATACTCAGACATACGTTCAACATTTAATTGCTGCATTATAACTTGAAAATCGGATTTGAAGATATTGTGACGATGGAAATACCACAATGGATCATAAAGCCATTTGATGAAACTGAAGTGAAGAATGTAATATTACCAGAGGAGCTACTCGAGCTTAGCACTAATGAGGAGCTGAAAGTGAAATTTAAAAGCGATAGCGATAAAAAAAATATATATCCTGGACTTTGGGAAATTGCGAGAAAGCTTTTGATAGCGTTTCCCTCGTCATATCTTTTCGAAAAAGTTTTAGTGTCGTTACAAACCTTTTAACAAAAATAAAGGAGTAGATTGAATATTACGGAACGGGGAGATTTGCAGTTATCTATACAAATAAATAAAATTGGAGTGTCTGTTTGTAATATTAAAATAACCGCTTTTTACCAAATGCATATGTATGTTTACACGGTACATATACCAAAATAACATTTTTTATAATTTTTGTCTGTCTGTCTGTATGTCTGTCTGTTTGTTGATTACCCGTAATCTCTGGAACGGCTTTACCGATTTCGACGGGACTTTCACTGGCAGATAGCTGATGACATAAGGAGTAACTTAGGCTACTTTTTTAGACTAGCTTCGCCCCGCGGCGTTGCCCGCGGTTATAACAACAAACGCGGGTAACACCGCGGGTCTCAGCTAGTTCTTATAAAACTGAAGCCAAATATTGATAATTTGCTATCAATCCATCAAGTACATCCCTCCCATTAAAATTATGACTATTTTGTGATTGTTATTGTAGAAGTTACGTTATATTCTTAATGTTTAATTGTAATTATATTGCGAGATATTAAAAGTGTAATAATTACATATTAAAATAAATACAACACAAACATATGTACTATTTTCCTTTTTCTTTTTACCACTCCGAATGGTGAGTTTTCTAAATGAAATAAGGGAGAATAGATTGGTTCCTTGTGCTGTGAGTAAATGTCAAAAAAGTAAAGTTAGTGAATCACTTTTTTGATTTGGCAACTTTACTTTTTTGACATTCATTTAATTAACCAATCAATTCAAACTTTTTTTTCGAAAACTGTTAATTTGCGGTTGGTAATCAACCTCAAATTTCCATTGTTAGATCGAATCTTTCCATTATTATCGAGTTTTGGAAATAGGGTGGAAATGTAACTGCTGGGGGTTCATCGGAGCCAGCTTAATTTTGAAAGTGGTTTACGAGAAAAAATGACTGAGAACCTCTGATTTAAACCCTTACATTTTGCTAACTATAATATAAACCCCTCTTACGTTATAGGGGATAAACATATTGCAATTCAATTGGGTACTATGAAAGATACTGCACTAGGGTAGATAATTATAAAGGGAACGCTAAAAGGAAGGGATATCTTTGAATAGTCGGACTTGGAAATGTAAACAATAATAGCTCGAGCAAGCCTGGGTCCATGTGACCCTGTATCTGCAATACCAATGGGTTCTTGCTATAGCCTCTGATTCATCTAAACGATATCACATCATTGACTCAACTTCCATCCAATCTAATGAACATACTAATAGACATTAACGTTTTTAGATGTTTAGCTGGCTCTCTGTGCTAGCTGTTCCGGCGGCTATGTGGTGGATGTTATTCTCCCCCCTCTTTCTGGGACGGGGCCCACCAAACAGATTGGCTGCTGCAATTCTCGCTGCTATAGAGCGACCAGTCTTCGCTTTCTTCATCGCGTTGGCGCTGCTAGGAGCAATGAATGGAGTGGAGTGTAAGTCTGAAGTCCAAAATTGGTTGTTCTAAATCATAAAGATATCTTGTTATATGAAGAATAACTTCAGCAGGCCTGGATACGAGTTCTGAATTCTAGACGGTAGTCTCGTTCAATTCCATGTATTTTTCAAAATGTTTCTTTTCGCTTTAGATAATGAAGGAGGAGGTGATGACAAAAGATTATGTTGAAGTGATATGGTGATATTTCAGCGGCGGCACGTCGTATGCTCGGCTGGTCGGGCTGGGCGTGCTGGGCGCGCTTGTCTTACGGCGCGCTGTTGTTGCACATGCCGATCAACAAAGCGCTGGTGGCTGCCAGGTTGTTTCCATCGCAGCTTGACAGACGGACTGTGGTAATTCTGCTTGAAATTTTCATCTAAAAACCTGAAATGTCTTTCTGTCTTGAGCATCTTATCAACTTTGAAATTTATAAATAAGAAATAGAGTAGTAGTATACAGTACCTAAATGAAATTTAACAACATACTTTTTTTTAATAATTGCTTGCACATGGCCGTCTAATTCCAAATTAAGTTGTCTATGGTTGACAAACTGCTGATAAGTATACTTAAAGATTTCTAAATACATAAATATTATAAATAACATTAAGATACAGAACAAATTTCTGTGCAATTATTTGTTCTGGGTGGGAATCGAACTCACGACCTTAGGCTTATCGGACACAATTAGTGATCACCATTTGCATGTCGACAGATTGTAGAGTGGTTCGGCGTGGCCACGGTGTCGTACCTGGCAGCTCTACCCTTAGCGCTGCTGGTGGAGATCCCCGTGCAGCGCCTGCACCGCGCGATACAACGGGCGTCTGCACGCGCACCGCACTCCGTCCCGGTGCCTACGCCTCAAGACAAGGCCAACTTATGAGCTTTGGCACCTAGTCAAAGTTTATAAACTGTATATTCTCCCCCAAATTAAGTTATTTTACTAGGACTGGTCATGAATTAATTAAATTCTTTACTAACGATCGATAAGACGTGTAGCCCAACTATACTTTAAATGTCTAGGTGTAGGCAGTGTCATCTAGGTTTATGAACATGGAATTAAATTGCCTATTCCATCGGTAACGATATAATTTGGGCCCCAATAAATTAAAATATTACAGTAAACTTCAATCTTACAACTTAAAGTGTGTAAGTAACTACAATTTACCTACTTAATTTATTATAAATCTGATTTTAAATCTTAAAAACCCTGAAAACCATTTATTATAATTCTAATTTTATAATTTGGTTGCCATAAATAATAATACGTCTATAGTTTATAGTTGTTATAATAGCAACAATTTATAAACTGACCGAGTGACCGACCGAGTTCTCAGTAGGTAGAGTCTGTGAACTTTTTCGTTAACAATCAACTGAGTAAAAATCATTTGTAACACTTAGTTCAACTAATTGTCTACAGATGAAATGAAACTCTACATCACAAACATAGCTTGATCAAAGCTTTACGAAGGGAAGAAATAGGAAATAGCTATATTTATAATAAGGTTACTTTAAGTTATAATAAGGATACACAATGTTTGTGGCAATCGACGCCTAAAACAATTTGTTGTAACAGAAACAAATGTATGTCTGACACAAGTGAACTTGATTGAACTGATTAACATTAGAAATATACATACATACTGTCACTAAATAATAACCTCAAAGCTAAAGTTTAATCTGTCAAATAATTTTTTGTCAATTCCAAAACGTCAAACAGACATTAGGATCGACAGGGACAACCAATATGAGGTCATGCACTCATTCTTATATGTTTGCTGATTGTCTGAATTGTCAGATCATCTGAGGTACTTATTTAGGTGATAGTATTTAATAAGTTTGTGTGGTTACATTTAATATCACGACGGGAAATTTGGAATGGAATAAAGGTGTTTATAATAAAATTATGTTTTTGTTTATATCAGTTTGCCGGCATGTCACGGCGACTTTTGCTCTATTGGTAACCTACTGAATTAATACAGGATAAGGATCACATTTTTATGGTAAAGGGGGGTTAACGAGGGCGAGTCACCTGATGGTAAATTACTACAATGGACACGTGCAGCTCAAGTGCGTTGTGTATCTGCCCCTTCCTTCAACTCGAGGCAAGGGGGGAGGTTGGGCTTCCGCTAATCTGTATACGTAAGTATACAAATGCCTCTATTTGTTACCTCGTAATCGGCGTTATTCTTTTTTAGGATGCCGCTTTTGATTTTGCTACTGTTTTCCCACCCAACAAATAAAGCAATGGAGATGTGCATTCAAGTAGTAATTCAGTAAGACAAAAAGGCCGTTTCAGATTTTTTCGCAAATGTTTGTGACAAATCTATACACTCGAGATTAGTCCTTTATGCGTCAAGAAGAGGTTGGCTAGGTGAGTGAACCCTCCTGGGACGTCCTCCTCCAGGTATGGTATTTGCCCCTTGTAGGACCACTCCCTCGCATTCGTTGGTTTTACCCATCTATTAATAAGAATATTTTAAGTTTTAGTTTTACTAATATTACTAAATACCTAACTAATAGTGGAATTTACTATTATTTTAAATATTTACCTACAATATATATATTATATATAGGTCCAGACTGTATTCGGCCACGGCGTCGTCACCACTGCTTCCTACTTAGACGGGTCAGGGTAGGTATAGGCATTTAAGGTGCAATCCATCTAATGTGCGGATATGTTGCCGATACAGGCACCACGATTCATAGCTGTACAGGACATTGGGCAGGATGATTGCCATGTACACAGCTACTTTCGTGGGGAACTTTGTCATGTGAAAGGAACACCTTGAAGCGGAGTTTGCCAAAGGCTGCAGCGGCTGTTCCAACTCTGTTGTTGACTTCGCTTTCAAGGACGCAGTGTGACGTTAAAGTGCTGCCCATATATTTCAACTTGTCTATCTTTGACCATCACTTTGGTCTTTTTAACACTGATTTAAAAACCTAATCTACGACATGACCCATTAAGATTCGTCATAGGTCCCTCTGAGGTGTCCGCCACAATACGTAAGTCTTCCGCATACATTACTTCGGTAATGGTAGTGTGACACTTTGGTGTGAGCTTTTAGTCTAGATAGGTGAAAAACTACCGCCACCGGTCACAAACGAATACGAATGCCGTCAGACATTCTGAAAGGCCTCCCTTACTACTGCTGCAAAGTGCAGAGCAAAGAGAGTTGAAACGAGCACTCAGCCTTGCTTTACGCAGCAACTCACAGAGACGAACTCTGAATCTTCACCCTGTACACTGACAAAGCATCGCATATCATCATGCAAGAGAAGGATCATTCTTACAAATTTATTCGTGCATCTACATACCATGGCAACAAAACATAGATTAAGAGATTGAGCCTGTTCTTGTCTTTTCTCTTGTAGCTGACGAACAGAGATGGCATTGATTTGGTCGGAAGCGAAATTGGATTTCAGACAGCATGTTTTCAGACAAGGGCATTAAGTTCAGTAGAATTCAAGCAAAGACTTTCTCCCGCAGAAGTCACTAGGGCAATACCCCTATAGGCATTGCAATCCGATCTGTCGCCCTTGTTCTTGTACAGGCAACAAATACGAGACTCGAAAGTCATCAGCCACATTCAAACGAACAGCTTTCTAATGGTTTCTTGTAATTCCTTGACCAATACTAAAGCAGTTCTCTAGGTACATTATTAATGCCGACCGTTTCTCGGTTATACTTTTGTTGCATGGCATCAGTAACCGCGCCCTGAGTCAGTAAGTTTTTTAGCTTGTTTATCGTGGGGGTGTTTCCATCGAGAGCTAATTATGTGCCATCGAAGGATCTCAGGGGCACTCTAATGCGGATTGCAGTACCAACAAGTTTGCGGACTTCATCATAAAATGCACCCAGCCGTTTGATATCGGCAAGCCACTGTACGCACTCGGCTTTGTCTTGCATTATTTGTCCTTTATTTCTCGTACATATTTCCGTAGCTCGGCAAAACTATGCTTGACTTGTTCCGTCTGGTGGTCGTCCCGGTGCCGGTGCAAGAGATATCATGATTGTCATCGAACTAATCCTCTGTCTATCTACTGGATGTGATACCGATTGTTTGCAAGGCGGTGGAGACTGGATGTAAGCGTTTGTCAGTTAACCACAGCATCTCTGCCTGGTCGTAGGTGTTACGAATATCTAGACTTTGGCATGACTATTGTACATAACTTTTTAAGAATCAGTTTTAATTTTTTTAACAATAAAAAAATAAAAATAATGCACGGTTTAAAGATTATTCAATTAAGTAGAAAATACTTCAATACGTCCTAACACTTTGAATAACACCTCTAAAGACTACGACGACTCTAAAGAGTTATCGAGTCGAGGATTTTGGTTCATTATTAAATAAAACAGTTAACAAATAGTTCTTGCACGAGTTTATTGTGTTAAAAACACTTTCACAGTTTAAAAAAGTACGGACTCCACACACACACACAAAATGTACATTTCGACATGTTTCAGAATGTCACCATAATGCTACAATACTCACAATACATTATTACTTGGAGACAAATACTGCACTTATTCAAACTTCTAGTATAGCTTTGCGCAATCTTTTTCATAAATTTACAACACTTTTCGAAATACTTAGCCGCACTGGGGTGTGGTGTAGATTTTGTCACAGAAAAGTTCATTTTAGATGTCAAAGCACGCCCCGCTATACAGGTCCAATATTTCGAAACGCACTTTGAGACAACCGGAATGCTACCTGACTGCGGCAACGACACGCCGCATCACGTCTTAACGGCAAGGGCGTTTTAAGCCTTAGGGATGGTCTGTGTTACAATAGACTAACCAAAATCCTATGATATCCTAGTAAGGATTTATCAGTATCTATGTAAATCGCGGTGTTTTAGGAGAACATTATCACGAATATTCATTTAGACTTAAGTTATGCAGTCCGATCAGTCCCCTACATATATTTACCATATACTAAAGCTATGACAGACATCACCTGGACACATCCCTCAACTTTTTAAATATTTACACTCAAGTTGCAGCATTTTGTAAATGACTATGGTGCTAATTCTGTTGTTCGAAAACTCTCTAAACTAAACTAAAAATCGCAAAAAAAAAATTGTCCTGTCAAATATTACGTTTTCAGAATAGGAAACATTGTTTGACAGGACTAAACAATTTTTTTGTGATTTTTAGTTTAGTTTAGAGAGTTTTCGAACAATAGAATTAGCACCAATATATTTTTAGACTCATTAAGTTTCAACTTAGACAAAAATTATTGCTGTTACCACAGTAGTTATAACAATAAAAAATGGGACATATCTGATACGACAGTATTACTGCACCGTAATTTTTACTCTAAAGAGTTATCCCTAAGAGTAATAACTTCATGGTCATTTGACTGGAAACTGCAGAATGTACTTAATAAAGTTTTTGTGGAATTTATTAAGTCTGCCCCTAGATATGTCTGAAAGGTTAAATTGGCTTAGCGTCGTGAGGGTCCTGATCCACCTTGCCAACCACCTCTATGACCACCGCCGCGCCCTCCTGCTCGGCCCCGGCCAGCAGCTGAAATTTATACAGAAATATGTTGTTATCATTGATTTTGTATTTATATGACTAGTAATATATTTGATATTTGTCTCCATATCAGTGGCTTTCAAGGAAGAGAACAGATCTGGTTCTGTATTCATTACTTTTTGATCTAAAATAGATGTTATACATCAAACCTGTAGATTTATTATGCTAAAATTTAATATTTTACTATTCCTACAAACAATTTCAACATTCAACATTCAGATCATGCAGTGTTGTCCCATGTGGGAATCGCGGCATGGCTACCAATTCAACCACTACGCTATCAATGCAGTGCATCTGTGAATTATTAGGTACTATTGGTATATTTATAATTAATTTCTATAAATATTAAAAAATCACACACAAATAAATAATCTGTCTGTAATGTCAAAAGAATAGGTTTTTTCATGATCATATGGTTATTTGTGCGATACCTGACCTAAAAACCAGTATTATTTTTTTTGTCTGTCTGTCTGTTTCTTCCGGGTAATCTTCTACACAGCTAGACCGATTTTGACAATATTTTACTACCAGGTAGCTGTCTATATAAGGAGTAACTTGGGCTGTTTTTCCTCTCAGAAAACCCCTTTAAATTTTTACCCGGGCCTGGAATCGAACCCACTAATGCAGCGCTTTTAACATTCCACGGAAATAAAGAGCTAGCTCATATCCGTGACTTAATTAATTAACTTAAGTTATTAATTAATCATGAACAGCAACATCTTTTCAAGTTTACACAATACATATTGGCATTAACTACACTTGAGTCAGCTGTGTATTACCCCTCAAATATGTTTTGTGTTACCCTCCTTCAATTACTATAAGCTTATTGGGGAATGAAACAGAGATTATTTACTTTCAAAAAGTATTAAGTATCAGTGATCAATTATATTAAATTGTATACCTTAATTCATAAATTTCACTCGAATCTGACTCAAGTCAAATCTGTATCTTTTAAAGTAAATGTGTTTTTTTTTTAATATATATTTTAAAAGGGGGCAGACAAGCAGACGGATCAGATGATGGAAAGTGACCACCGCCCCTCAGGAGTCACAAACGCGTTGCCGGCCTTTTAGGAAGTAGTTACTATGAAATACTATGTTGTGACATCTTACATGGCTATTGTCAATAATTTATATTTACTTTTATTGTCAAATCATTTATATTCAATTTTAAAGACATTGATTGACAAGACAAGACAAAGTTTTGTTACATTTAATGATGCACGCGAAGTGGATTATTTTAAATTTAGGAATGCACTTTATTTAGATGAAAGAGAATGTGAAACTACATGTACGCAAACTAAAATAAACTAGTACATTGATCTTAATTTGGTGTATTTATGGTTAATGGTCTGGTATTTCTTAAATTTAGAATTCCGAGTACTGTGGTAATATGCCAACTAAAGGGGTAGTTAAAAACCTAAAAGGAAAATTGTATATTAATGCCCAAACAATAGTTTTTGTCGTTTACACACAAGACGGTAAATATTATTAATGTTGCCAAGCACTAACCTTGAGCTCGTAGTATAGCACTTTTGCCCCGACCAGCGGTTGGCTTATTCCCTTGTCGTTTAAACATAGGCGCATTCTTCAACATGTCCGGCAGTATTAGAAATCTGATTTTTGAACCTCTGATGTATACATTCTCTAATTGGCCGACCCTTCCATCTCTATAGGTTACAGTAACTAGTGTCATTTGGCAATTCATGTTATCTTCAGCCTCAATCAGTTTCCCGCGGTACACTTCGCCGGTGTTTGTTTCACAAGTTACTACATGGCCCTCTGCTTCGTGAAGTACTTTAATAGGTACACCGATCGACATTTTAAAGGATTTAGTTTAATAAAAACTTCTAGTAGATAGCAATTTATAACGTTATCACAGGATGTTTTGCGATTTAATTATGAAATTTCTCTAGGCACAACGGCACAAACAATATATGACAGCCCAAAACAAAACAACCACAGACAAACAACAGAGAATATAGATTATATACCTACATTTTCTCTGTGTTGTAAATAGTACTAGAGATTATAAAAAGCATAGTTTTACATTATATGTATTACTTTTATATTTATCTAAGAAAGATAATAGAGCATTATGATAAAATATCTAAAAAATAAATAAATCACATCGTCATCATTAGCCTATCGCAGTCCATTACTGGACATGGACCTCTCCAATATTGCACGTCACTTGGTTCGATCCTCGGCTTCTCGCATCCAGTTCCTGCCAAAATAAATTACTGCTTAAAATAACTATCTAAAATTAAAGTTATATTTTGAAGAATAAATGCAATTTCAATAAATATTGGGAACAGACATGGTGAGTTTTTGGCCATAAATTGCAATATTTATTAGTCCAGGTTGCTCTTTTTCTCATATTAAAAAGGATAAATAAATAAAAAAGAAAGATCATTATTTTGCTAATATTTTATTTAAAATTACCACATTCATGTCACACACCGTGCCGTTCCACATTCATGCTGTCTCATTCCAAACTAGGCATAGCCTGTACTATGGAAACCAGACTGCTGGTAAACATAATATTCACATCTGACACACAACGCCATTCAGTTTCAAACTAAGCAGAGCTTGTAACTATAAAAGCTAGATTGACTGATAGAATACTTCTATACTATTTTTTGTAAATACATACATATTGTTAAGATCTGGGTATATAATAATAAAAGTTGTCGGTTAATTACTTTATTTCACTGTATCACTACTAGAAATCATCTTGTTAGTCGCACTAGAAATTCACTCCTATGTTAATTCACTGTGTCGTAAAACGAAAATGTCCCAAACGGCCAAGATGCTTCGCTTTTTTAGCGCTTTTGAATTTTACTAGAAAGATCTATAGTCCGTTCCAGACAACACGAGTATTCCAGAATCAGTCACGCGTTACTTGCAGCGCCATCTAGTGCTGTAAGGATCAGAACCACTCGTATTAACCACAATCTTAATAGATGTACTTTAGTCGATACTAGATGACGCTGTCCTCCACATTCCATACAATCGAACCATTTAATCCTATCGCGCAACAATATTATACAAAGAAAACACCCAATATGGTATAATTATCGTCATGCTAATAAACATAATTAAAAAAAGTCAAAGTAGTCTTCAGTCTTCTTGTAGATAAAACCAATGTTTGCTTGTTTGTATGATGGGCCTATTGGTTTAGTGGTTAGTGACCCTTACTGCTTAGCCAGAGGTCGTGGCTTCGATTCCCAAACAGAACAAATATATTTGATTGAGCAAGATAAATCGTTCTGTGTCTTCAATTTATCTAGAATATGTATTTATTTAGAAATATCTTAGTATTTTTTTTCTACTTTTTTATGTCAGAGTGGTCAGACGAGCAGACGGGTCACCTGATGGAAAGTAACTATCCTAGCCCATGAACTCAGGAGACACGAACGCGTTGCCGACTTTTTTGGGAAGAAGTACGCTCTTTTCTTGAAGGTTTGAAGGTCGTATCGGTCCGGAAATACCGCAGACGATAACCCATTCTACAGATTGGTTGTGCGGGGCAAAAAGTGTTTCGAAAAGCACACAGTAGTGGAGCGCCAACTATCTAGGTGATGATGATGAAAATTTTGCCGGAGATGTTTGGGTTATCGACGAATATTATTATTATTTGTACTTTATACATACACTGCTGCAATATTCAATATGAAATTCATACAATCAAGTTATCACACACAATTAATAACAATGTACAAATACAGTTTAAACTTTATAAACAAAAAAGAGAAATAGAAAGATCAAAGCCTCGGACGTAATTAGAATCTGATAAAGTATATCTCACGCCAGTGACCACTTTAAATAGTCAATATTATTTTTAAAGTGAAAGTTTCTTTAGGCACGTTGGGCATTTTTGAACAACAAACAAAAAAATGTTTTTTTTGAGATGGGAAAAAACCATTGAACTCGCGACACTAATACATTACCGACACCTCTGTATATAAGTATCTACATAGGGCCCTGTTTACACAAGAGTTGTTGTTAAATTGTTGTTTGTATTTATAATATAAACATATATTGTGTATATACGTACAACATAAATATATATTCACTTTTCAAATAAAAAAAAAACAAAAAAAAATATTTTATAATCAAAAATTTTCAAGTTTTCACTTCTGTCGGTGTTTATTATTTTAATGCAATCTTTATGAAAAATGTCCAAGGAGCTATTTGCGTAGAAACCTGTAACTCTGTTTCTATTTTGTCACTGAATTGTCAAATTTGACAGTTGGCATTTTTGCTGGTTAGGGCTACCGCTACGGCCTACGTCTAAATTGAGGACGCGGTTCTTAAAATCGATGTGTTTAATAGTTTAACTAAACAATAATGGCGGCTGAAGTGATGAAAGTGGAAGTAGAAGCCGAGACGTGCTGTATATGTGGCGGCGGTGGCGAGTTGATGACACCGGAGGAACATGACGCTGGCGCACCGCCTATGCAGGTGCCGCTGCGCGCTATGCTGCTACACCTCAACTCCAGTAAGGTACATGAGTGCTTTCACTTCTTATCCTTCTGACCTTCTGCAAAATCAAAACAATATCATAACCTATAAGATAAGTGATTCTCCGACATTCAAAAGAACTATAAGTTTATCTTTCTATTTTAAGTGCCGCCTTTAGTTAAATATATATTTGGAAGTATAGAAGACCGGTGACTACGGCCATTCGTCATCCCTTTTAGTGTTTTCACTGGAATTGAATGTAAGACTTCATTAGCCCAAGTATTATGTTGGAGGACAGACAGACATTTTGCGTTATAACCTCTCTGTTTATCCTTTCACTGTAGGTACAGTGAGGTGTTAATATCTCTGATCAAATGTAGTTCAGTACAGTCTGTTTGCGATTATATTCAGGGGCTTGTTATAAGCTCATTACAGAACTATTGCTAATGGTACTCAGTAGTGGTATACTGTAATGCCAAATATGTGTTAATACTGAGTCATAAATTTGGTGTTTGTTATCATTATACTTTGTGAATTAATTGTGTAGGTAGTGCCTGATGGCCGCCTATGCGGAAGCTGTATACGTCGTGCTTTAGAGTCTTATGAGTTTAGTACTGCTCTTTCTAATAGAGGTACTCCACCTCTCAGTGAGAAAATCAGAGCACTGCGCAAGAGGTCAGTATCAGCCATTATTATCTTGTTGTAATCAGTCTTGGCCTCAATTGTATCAATAGACTGTCAATGGAATGTCATCGAAACAGTTTTACACTTTTCTTATTCTGCTAACTATGTAAGACCAATGGCCTCCCAATGACTTGTCACTGATACAAATTTCGTCTATGTCTTTGTAACGGGTTGGTAAACGGTACATTTTAAATTTGTAAGACGATTAATTCTTTAATTTTCAAGGTATGGCAATGTTGTTAATATCACCATTGATGACCTATGTTACTGTATTGACAGTCTATTGACACTGAATTTATGTTGGTAGAATACTGATATTTTGAAAGATGTCAATGGCGTCTCAATGGCATCTCAATAGCGTGTGAATGGAATTACAGTGGCTTCTTGTTAACATAAAATATCAGAATTGAGGCCCTTATGATATGATTTCAAGTTAAGTCAAATTTCAAAAATAAGTACTATTTACTTATTTTTGTACTTAAAATCTACTTACAACAAATTAAGATACACAATAAGTATTTAATTACACAAAGTAGTATTCCCAGATATTCACTCATTCATTCATTCAAAATGTTTTAAACAAAAGTGGTTTTAAATTTTATGCTCTACTATTTTTAAAATAGAAGTTAACATTATATGAGTAATAGAAACCGAAGTGAATACCAAAGACAGTTATTTCTTACCTTGAATAACTTACACTGACACTGACTGACATAACTGACATAACTGACATAAAATATTATATGAGACTTTTGAAACAACTTTTAGAATAGCAAAATAGGTAAATACGAAAATTCAGCTTACTACCTTCTTCTGAAGTTGACCCCATTTTGATGTTAAAGTAACTGGACCATATTGACGGCCGGATGCCGGAGTGATTAATGTAACGGACTACTACGCCAAAGGCCGCGGGTTCGATTCCCGCTCAAGTCAAACATTTGTGTTCTTGAACATCTAATGTTTAATTTGGTCTGGGTGTGTCTATGTATAATATGTATCTATTTACAAAAAAAGTATGTATATATTAATATCAGTTGTCCAGTACCCACATCCTTTCCACTTGACCCCGCATGGTCCCTCTAGGGGGTCCATGGACACTCACTATTACAATCCCTTATCCCGGGTTGTGAGAAAAATTATTATTTTTATATTCAACTATTTATACTAACATTTGAGAGTTAAAATCTAACTTTGTAAACAATATATCTCTTTATCTAAGGCTATCTTGTGCAGGCAACCATATGTAAAGACTATATTGAGGGGGTTCAAGTGTAATAGTGAGTGTCCATGGACCCCATAGGGGGTCAATTCTTAGGTACTATTGAAAAGAACCGGTATCCATAGTACTACTGTACTCTGCTTAGTTTAGAACTAGATTGCGTTGTGTGAATGTGGTAGAATATATTATATTTTTTAGCAGATAACTATAAATATAACTTTTACAATCAAATCTTCTATTTGCCTATAAGGTGCACTTATTTAAATATTCCAGATTACATGAACTCACCCAGAAGATTGACGTGTTCATCGTAGTGGGTGGTGCAGGCCCCGACGGAGCTTATAGCGAGGAGGATATCATAATGGTAGAGCGTGATACTCTAGCGGCGGCCGCCGCCGCTGACAATGAGGAGTTGGAGCGAGGCCGCAACGCAAGAGGAGATCACGTATACCAGTGTTCAGTTTGCCCGGCATCTTTTCCGAAGCCTAATGATTTTCGTACTCATCTTGCAACACATCCGGCTGATTCACTGCACTCTTGTTGGACTTGCGGGGCACAGTTCGCCACTAGGGCTGCTCTGAAGGCACATTTAGGTGAGTCGTATTTTTATATCAGGTGGGAGAAGTGCTGTTTTTCTAGTTAGGCTATAAATAGTCTGTATTGAGGAGTAATAGACCTGAACCGTCGTATTAATAGTGTTAGAAATGTTGTACATTATAGTATTTTAAGAATTCATTAAGAAAATAAGAAACAATCGAAAATGTTCATTGAAGAGTAAAGTTTTCCTGAAAGTGACAAGTCAAAGTAAAAATTATTTTTTTTACTTTGACTGACAAAGAAAAGTTTTTAGTCATCTAGAGATAATTTTTGTTCCCGGTCATTTCGCTCAAGTATATTTGACGTTGTCCGTGTGGTGACGGATTAAGAATACAGAGTGTCACCACCCCTATTCATCCTGTGGGTGTCGTAAGAGCCGACAAAGGGAAAAACTACGCAGAACACCAGCACTGCAGAGAGAAGGAAAACTTGACACAAACCCTATACCGACCCGTCTGGTCAGCGTGGCATAGTAGGCCAAAACCTCCTTTCTAAGGAGAGGCTTATGTCCAGCAGTGGACTGTTAAAGGCTGTTGATGTTGATAAGGGATTGTAAAGAAGTTTAAAGTGCTAATTTTTGCTAGGAGTTAAATATCCACTCTACAACCTCGGCAGTCTTGAGAAATGTAAAAAAAACCCGGATGGTAGTATACTTATCTACATGTATAACGAACTAATAGTCGCAGTCGCAGTGGACTGTTAAAGGCCGACGATGATATCTGACGTATGTCGTGGGGCGGCAGGCGCGTCGCTAGGGTCGCTGTGCGGCGCGAGCCTGTCGTGCCAGCTGTGCGGGCGCGGCGCGGGCTCGGCGGCGGAGCTGCGGCGGCACGGCGCGGCGTGCCCGGCGCGCTGCCCGGCGTGCGGCGCGGTGTGCGCGGACCGCGCCGCGCTGTCGGCGCACGCCGCCGCCGCGCACGGCCGCGCCGCGCCGCCGCCGCACGTCTGCCCCACGTGCTTCCGCACCGCCGACACGCCCGAGCTGCTCTCCGCGCACCTGCTGCGCCACCGCCAGGCCAAGCAGTTCGTGTGCGGCTACGACGCCTGCATCCTGCGCTTCGGCACCAGGTACCGCCCGCCGAACACCGTTACGCGTGTCTCTCTTTTTTATCGATCTAACTTTCTTTTAAAGTTATCAAAAATTATATAATCGAAACGGTTCACCGTCGTTAAACCCGATCGAATATTATATTTATTGTTTAATAATATATGAATTCTTTTGATTCTATGGATTATACGCATCTCCGTGTTCCACAATGTTCTAATAGTTTTTAGAGGTGTTTCAACCGATCGTAAAAAATATGACGGTCGATCCGAAACCGAGTAATAATAGATTATTCTCAATGCACTTATTACACTACAGTCATTTGAATACCGACCATTGAAGAGTGAACGACGAAATCGAAGCTGTCATCGAATACCTGTTTGAAAAAATGTCTAGCGAAGCTTACACGACGACTCGATTTAAACATTAAGGGAACTCTACTCCTTCTACAGTTACACACTCGACCAAAAACTTTAAATTGAACAGAACGTAACGAAGCACGCCAATCCACATACTTACTGGGTAACGTAAAAAAATTGAAAATAGTATTAACAGACTGAAGAAAGCTAAGGTCATCGAGATCTCGTATAGCAGTATACGAAGAGTCCTTGCGAAAGGATTGTGAGAAAAGTCGGTCTGCTCGTTGGGTACTGAAAATATTAAAAGAAGAAACGAATCTACGTTTGAAGCACGAATCTCTTAAAAGTTCCAAGCAGATCAGGTTTTTTTTTTTTTCACGGTATGACATTGTATGATAAAGGTAGCCACTGTTTTGAGGTTATCAAAAACGCGGCGGCCCGATTTAGCTTCCAGTGACTACTTTCACTTTCTTTTGCCCAAGGCAAAAATACCCAGAGGCAAAAATGACCACTGTTGTTGAGGATGTTTTTGAAGTTCAAGACTAAGTTTTTTCTAAGGGTTTAGAAAAAAGATGGCCATTTACTGTATTCACTTATTAGAGACTTAAAGAGAAGCAAAATTTTTGATTTTACTTTACTCACTTGATTATTATTCATGGTCACTTTACACTTACACTACTACTTAGGCAGAAATAAGCAAGATTTTACGTATATGAGGGGAGGATGGTCACACTTCCTGTTTGGTCCCATTCAAATTTGAAGAAAAAAATTCAACTCTAAGGTTGGAAAATTGTGTGAAGTTATTAAAATCGGTAAACTTTTTGAAATTTTAAATAATGGCACACACGCTCTTAAAATTTGATGACGCCTTTCTATTTAATACTAATACTTTTATTTGTAACTTTTATATACAATTCATTGCATCTCTCTCTATAATGGGTAATGAGGTGAGTGAACACACCGTGTTGGTTCCAGGAGCAACTTGATGTCGCACATCCGCAAGTGCCACACGAGCGAGGAGACGGAGGCGCCCCCCGCCGCCCCCTCCGCCCCCTCCGCCTCCTCCACCACCTGCGACACGTGCGGCCGGACGTGAGTGCCTCCCACCACTACATTAGTCTTAGCTGCGGGACAGCCATGCTTATGGCTCGATCGGACTAACACGGAATCACCAACAAACCGGTGTTGAGCAATTCCTTCGTTTCTTTTCACCGAGAGGTTACCGAATCCCTAACCTCCATCCCTCCCCCGATTTTGGGATGGGAGACTCAAAAGACGGTAACACCATCCATGGGCTTCGATAGCATAGTCACTTAATCAGCTCATGAAAATTACGAAAAAAAGTATCCTTTTGATCCCTATTTTACAATGTTTACTTCCTTTTTAAAATGACCGGCTCCTGATTTATGTATAGGTTTTTAAGTTCTTCAGAGAAATTAAATGTTATAAATATTTATCAGGTTCGGTTCGGTGGCGGCCATGAAGCGACACTCGCGCGTACACCGCTCCACGCACGTCAACAACCTCTCGCAGGTACGAACCCCAACTTATCATATCACACCACCACACCATTTGCATCCCCACATTACACTACCACACTACAACAAGATTACATCACACCATTTAACAATACAATAACACTACATCACACCATTTCACACTATCACTATACCACATCACAACATTTCACACTACCACTATACCACATCACAACATTTCACACTACCACTATACCACATCACAACATTTCACACTACCGCTATACCACATCACAACATTTCACACTACCACTATACCACATCACAACATTTCACACTACCACTATACCACATCACAACATTTCACACTACCACTATACCACATCACAACATTTCACACTACCACTATACCACATCACAACATTTCACACTACCACTATACCACATCACAACATTTCACACTACCACTATACCACATCACAACATTTCACACTACCGCTATACCACATCTCAACATTTCACACTACCACTAGTAATTAATTGTCATTAATTTAAGGAAATAATATTTCTAAAATGTGACAACCAGCTGGTATTAGCGATGAGAAAACTCAAACTTCAAAAACTCTAAATTCCTGCAAGTAAGGCCACAGGCAGAAGTTAGTGGTAAATAAACGGTCCTAAATACACACGTATACTGTAAACATTGTCATTCTTGTCCTTTTTTTTTTTTTTTTTTTTTTTCCGTGCGGAAATCCCCTCGGATACCACCTGTCGGTGGCATGTCGGACTCGAACCGACTAAAACCGCACGCCTTCGCCGGGTACTAATAGCCGGGGAACCAGGTATACCCTAGAAAGGAAGGCCCTGGTGCCCCGACATACCTCGGGTCATCTACAGACGAGTAGACGACCCCCGCCCCGTGTGGGAACCCCATGTTCCCTGTGCTCCCTGGAAGCGAGCGCGCTTCGCAACGCGCTCGCCGCCACCCCGGCCTGCTTCTGCTAGGGTGACAGATGGCCTCACCTGTCACCCCCAGGCCTGCGCTTATGGAGGACGGAGGTCGTTCTGCGACCTCCGGCGCCTGAGTCGCCTGCGCTGCCTGGCCCGTGCCCGGGCCTGGCGGGCCGGGAGAGTTCTAAACCTCTCCCGCTCCCGCTCCGCCGTCTCCTTCGCGAGCATAACTTGCTCGCAGAAGGAGACGGCAGAGTTCCACGCACTCTCGCTCCGCACGATAGCCGCAATCAGGCTATCGAGCGAGAGAACTCCCACTCCGATGGCCGCCACGAGGTCTCGCCTCTGCTCAACCCACGCCGGGCACTCTGCCAGCGTGTGGAGAGCCGTGTCCACGGTCTGGCCATCGCAGTGGTGGCACTCAGGCGTTGGCTCCTTGCGGATCAGACACAGGTGATCTCCGAAACATCCCTTCCCAGTGATCACCTGCGTCAATCGGTATGAGAGGGTCCCGTGACGCCTCTCGAGCCAATCCTCCATAACGGGTCTTACCGCCGCAATGACGGCGTGCCCGGCGCTCGGTTGCCCGAGTCGTTCCCTCCACTCCCCTATGATGACCTGGCGGAGTTGGGATTTCCGGTCATCGATTTCTCGAATCTCGGGGCATCGACCCAACTCCTGCGCCTCCTTGCGCCACTGATACAGTGCTGCAAGGGCTCTCGCCTCCAGGTCCCACGGTGGAGTTCCGGCCAGGAGACTCGCCGCCTCAAAGGAGATCGTGCGGTACCCCCTTATGATCCTGATGGCCAGCATTCGCTGCGGTCGCCGCAGTATCGCGACGTTGCTGGCCTTCAGGGCCCCCGCCCATACTGGGCACCCGTAAAGGGCCATGGACCGCACAACCCCCGAGTAGAGTCTCCGGCAGGAGTCATCGGGTCCCTTCATGTTGGGCAGCAGCCGCGCCAACGCACGCGCTGCCCCAACCAACTTGGGGACCAGACCTCGGAAATGATATCCGAAGTCCCATCGGCCATCGAGTACGAGCCCCAGATACTTGATCGAGGGCTCGATGCCGATGCGAGTGCCTCCTACCGTGAGGCTAGATCCCTCAGGCGGCTTCCTCCGAAGCCCGTGGAAGAACAGGGCCTCGGACTTGTGCAGAGCCACCTCGAGACCCAGCCGCCGGATACGCTCAACGACTTGGGCAACCCCGGCCGTGGCCCTCAGGGTTGCCTCGTGGTGCGTCTTGCCGCGCGCTGTCATTCTTGTCCTGTACTTTCTTTAAGATCGACTGACAATTTCTTTTCAATATATAACCTTATTGTCATAGAAAATATAGCAATGTTATATTTACAACAGGAGGAGGGTACCGAGTTCCAAGAGGGCGAGGACATGGAAGGCGAGGTCGAATACCTGGAGGTTGAGGAACTTGAAGAGTTGGAGTACCGCGACCAGTACGATGAGGACAAGTCTGAAGCAAGCATGCACTGAACGTACTTGTATGTCGCAGTCGTTTGTCGCCAAGAATTTATTAAGTCTTTGTAAATGTTTATTATATCTATTAATAACGGCCGGCGATAACAGCATTTAATTTTTATTCTGTAATGTAATAACTTTTCATTGTTGATTGATGACTGGTAGAAAATATTTGCTGAAAATACATTTTGCTATTGAACTATATGCCAAAGTTAAAACCTTCGATCAAATGTGATTAATATATAAACTTTATTCCATTAAAATATAGTTGAAAATCGAACGACCCGTGGACAAGATTATGCTATTTGCATACATTTTAAACTCTATTTCAATGGGTTAAGGTTTTATTCCAATTGTGCAAGCGTCTTTAATCGCTTGAAATACTAAAAAGTAGTGGTCATTTGGACTGCTCGACTTTTTCTAATTGTAAATAAATAGTATTTCTTTTTATTATTGCTAGTTTTGGAAACAAGCAGATATTAACCTGTTTGTTGAAAAATATAGAAGCAGTGTACCTTAAAAATTAATTTCAAAAATAGGAAAAAAATCTTTTTTTTGTTGTATAGTGGTATACATGTATTGTGTCGTTGGTCTGTCTATGTAAAGTTCGGGCTCGTACAAGGTAAAGATGAGCTTCTGCGGTCTGATGTATTTAACTGCTACAGTTATCTCCATGTAGTGACAGTGTCCTGACCATTATATCTATGGGTAGGCGTTTCAAATACAGTTTGTATGTTTGACAAAGTCTTCTGTTTGACAGAAGTGTTTATGTAACCGTTAATACATTATGATACATAGTGTAAGTTGTTTTATTCGTTTCCAACTATTACAACCTTCATATTACCTGCTTATCTATACAAATAAATAAAATTGGAGTGTCTGTTTGTAACATTAAAATAACCGCTTTTTACTAAATGCATATGTATGTTTACACGGTACATATGCCAAAACATAATTTTTTTTCAATTTTTGTCTGTCTGTTTGTTCCGGGTAATCTCTGGAACGGCTGGACCGATTTCGACGGAACTTTCACTGGCAGACAGCTGATGACATAAGGAGTAACTTAGGCTACTTTTTTTAGACTAGCTTCACCCCGCGGCGTTGCCCGCGGTTATAACAACAAACGCGGGTAACACCGCGGGTCTCAGCTAGTACTTTATATATTTATAAGATTATAACCTTCATGACTGCTATATAACTCTGGCCAACCCGTATGGCCAGCATGGTATAGTAGGCCAAAACCTCCGTTGTAAGGAGAGGCAGTGGACTGTTAAGGGCGTAGACGTTTAAGCGGTCGCCACGCCGCTTCCTACTGCGCCGAGTGTTGTTGGTTCAAACCCCACATGGGACGACACTTTGTGTGATCCACATTGTTGTTCTGAGTCTGGGTGTAATTTGTTTCCGTTTCATGTATGTTTGTAAAGTCCCTAGCGACAGGATTTATTCCTAGTGCGGGAGTTGTCTTTATTAAAAATAAAGAAAAAAAATTATCTATGCATCAGACGTGTTTTTATATTATTAAAAATAATTATTAATCTAAATATGTATATAAATGGTTACTAAAGAATATCATTCTACTCCCAACTATCACACTACTGTTACACTCTCTCCCTTGCAAATACACACACGCACACACATACACACACACACACCCACACACACACACACCCACACACACACACGCACACACACACAGGTACACACGCAGCCAAGCAACGAGGGATACATTCACAAAAATATTAGTTTAAGAAAGTTATAAAACTTTGCCATAGGGATGCAAGGTTTTAAAAAATTTCGAATTAAGTCGATATTGATATATCAGTCTAGTAGGCCGATATATCGATATTTTATCAATATCTTTTCTTTTTTCAAAGCTTATAGAAATCCAGTGCAATTTTAGTTATCAAACGTTCATCGATTACGTTTGTATGTAATTTTGTACCAAACCTATGTAAATAAATAATTAACCTAAATTATTGTAAATTGTACTATTTTCATAGTAATTCGTATTTATTAACTGAAGAACTAATTACTTACCGTTGTGGTTTACCCAAAGATTTATCTTCAACGTCGTAATCTTCTGGATGTTTGTGTTTAATATGTGATGCTAGATTGCTTGGATTACCAGCTGTTTTATCTCGTTTGTCACATTGAGTTAAAACAACACTAGAGAAGCAAACCTCATTATCACACGTCGATAAAAGTGTAACCACTTTTGAACTTTGACGACGTAGCTTTGATACCACGAAACATTTGAAAGTAAACATATTTATGTCTCATTTACACGCGAGACAAGAACAATACCATCGCTCGGATTAGACAAAGACAAAGACATAACTTTACGATAGTGGGCCAGTGTTGACTACCGTATGAAATTTTACCCATAACAACCAAGAAACAATATTTTTTTAAAACAATTTTGTAATAAAATAAATTAATTTAAATATTTTAAATAATATATTTCGAATTGAATGGAATAGGTATAAATAATAAAATAACTAGAAATATTTGGTTAAAAGGGTTTATATTCAGTGTAAAATCAAACTCCGCTATGAAGCATCAGTTTTGTATACAATTGTCTTTTAGACTCTTTTTTATAAGTTTGTGTGAATATTTTACTTTCATGATACAATCTTATTTTTACCTATGTATAAATAATGGCATTTAATAGTAAAAGTGAATGATCAACTTGTACTGATAATAAATAATCCCCAGGGTGTATTGCAAATTCTTTTAATATTTTCTTTCTTTTAATACAAATAAAAAATATATATAAAAAATATATGTATGTATACCTATATATATTTTTTTTGTTTTTTAAATTTTTTTATTTATATTTATTTACTTTTTTATTTTATATATATATATATTATATGTACAATTGTTATTTATATTTGATAATTAATTAAGAAAAATGAATGAATGAATTAATTAATTCTTTTATACAAAAGTCTCCAGCACTGTGAGCTTGGCAGAAGGTGAACGTTCAACGGGTCCCTAAAAAAAGTGATCGATTCAGCCCTAACAACTACCGTTCTTCCTAAATTTTATTATTATTGACAAAATGTTTAAAAACAGTATAAAGCATATTATTTCATAAATTATAAATTCTCCCACTAATGTGGGAAAACAAAAATGATTTTTTAATGGTAACACTGATTCTAAATGACAATTATCAATGTTTTATTTCAATTATAGCCTTATTTACGATATTATCAATCCAAAAACCATAAACTTACACGTGATAAGTAATTCCGCATGATTTATTATGGTTTTGTGACCTTGAATCGCATTCTTTCACTACGCATTTACCCATTTTGGCGATTGTTACTGTCATGTGTCGCTATGTTCAACTCGGTTGACGCCACATTGAACACTGAATTGACGTTTGCTACGCATATGCCTGTGGACAGATGTGCAGTAGCAACGATTTTAGGCGGTAATTACTCATCTATGTAAGTATTATATCAATGGTTTGTCAACTAACACGTCACCACGGTACAATTATAATACAGTAGTGTAACTCGGCCGCATGATAGAAATAAATGCCTACAGCCGCGCGGTACGTAAACATGCGTTAGGGCTGCCCGTCCTCAGCATTTTAATTATATTTGCCTACTTTCTGTTTCTATTTAGATTTGTGATTGTAAATATCCTTTTTATATAAATAAAACAAATACTTTGTATATTGAATCGGAAGTGTTCAATAAAAATGCGTGTTGTTTTTTGATTGGTAGATTTAATTAAAAAAAACATGTTTTTGTTTGAAAAACAAATCAGGCTTATAAATTTGCGACCGAAAAAAATCCTTCTATAAAATAAAATAAATGTGCTTTCTCCTTACGCGTTACAAAACTCCAATCCTTAGAAACTCCAACACCTACCTACTCAACTAGAATGCAAGAAACAGCTGACGAGGAAGTAACTTTTTATCTCAGCTTATTAACGTCTCTATAAATTAGGTACCTACCTACAACTCGCAACAACTCAAAACAAAAATTCTTTGTTCACCAATTAATTAATTATTAAAAAGCTGAACAGCTGACTACGAATGTTTTAAAATCACAACCCTCAAACATCTAAATATTATATATGAGTCTAGCTGTTGTGGTTAATACCGAGAAAATAAAACCAGTTTTTAGTGGTATATGTTGTTATAGTAGCAGCAGAAACACTTTGTTAAAATTTCGAAAACTGTCTGACACACAGACGGTAAAAATTTTTTTTTAGTATTATTCATACACACAGATAATAAACAAATATTATTAATAATAAAATACCACGTCTTTACTTTGAATTATGCAAAGTAACAAAACACACATGCACCGAAGTTTTAACACAAGCGTAGTAGGTAGGTACCTACCGTATCATGATTCATTCAGAACCGCATATAACTCCCTATTTCACTCGTCTCAATAACTTTCCGTTACTCTATTTGCTTTATTTATTCATCCAAACACCTTTTTTTTTCGTGAGATAAAAGGAAATACTTATCCATTAAAAAGACACACATTATGTACCTACCTACTAGTAAGTAAAATTATTTTATAGTCTTACCTTTCAGAGTTTCCAGGTAATTTAAAAAAACTTATGTCTGGATGCGTTATTGACGAATTCATACAACCAAAAACAGCACAATATTTCCTACTCGTCATATTAACAGATTTTTAGAGAAAAAATCGCGCGGTTATTGTTAAAAAAACAACACACAGTCCGTTCGACATTGCGGTACAGCCGTAACTGTCTGCGCCCCGAGCGCACCCCGAGATCGAGGCGCGTAGGTATAGCTCGCATTTCGTCCGTTTGTATGAAGTTGGAGTACTGTATTATAATAGTACCGTGACGTCACGCTAGGTCACATCACCACACAGGCAGACCACAAAACAACACTCACCCACCACAGATTATAGTAGAGAACAGAATCAATTTTTTAGCCAGTTAGTGTATCTAGTTACAGCTTTTTATCCGATTACAAAATCCGAGTTTTTCGATATTGATATATATTCTATCGATATATTTTTAGGCGTCGATATACCGATATTTATTGGTCTGATATATCGTTGTAAGCATACTTTTCCCTAGTAAGTGTAGTGAGAGTGCAGCAAAAGATGCTGATACCGAACACAAATTGTCCAAAAACATTTAGCCACCACAAACTATGTATATATGTTTTACAGTGAAATATAACTTTAATGTACAAGCGAGCCATGTTTAGCCATAAATGGCTCGGCTCGACTGGAGTGATTGGCTTGCTTTTCACCGAGTGAGTGAGTCCACCGGAACTCAATCCCTTCCCCTCCCCCAGACTGGGGGAAGGACTCAAAAGGCAGCATCGCATCCATGACTTTGAGTTGTAGGTGTCCATGGGCGGCGGTAGTCACTTAGCATCAGGTGACCCGCCTGCTCGTTTGCTACCCTATACCACAAAAAAAAACAATTCATCAGTAAGATTTTCCTTTAATTTTCTTACTGATTTAGGTCAAATTAACTAACTGTCAGCACAAATTATTCGAAGATAGATTTATTAAATTCTCTATTGGTGCTATAATTTTATATTTATATTTCCAATTAAAATCACTTTGTTCCTTGCCCGCCCTTGAGATAGCGAGCCGGACATATGCAGCACTAAAATGCTGTAGGCCAAGTAAGACAAAAATAGGTATTGTAGTGTCTAGTGTGTGATTGATATAAGTAAAAAACTGGTGTAACAATAATAATAATTTAATAAATAACAATATAACAAATTTGAAAAAATACTATTTTTTATTAGCTAACATCACAGCAAAAGGCTAGTGTAAATTGACTTGCTATTATGAAATATGCTGTTGACCATAACCAAGAAAGTGCAACACACAAATTTGATATTTTTTTGGTTTGCCGACAGACATTGATAAAGTAATACCAAAAAGTATCATATCATTAATATATACATTAACTTAATACAATTTCTTAGGGAGTCGAGGTAAAATAGAAAAATAAAAAGCCGTGTGGTGTCGTGGGACACCCGATAGGAACGAAGTTGTTACGATCGAGTAAAACTGATTCGACACGATTTTAATTACAACGCCATCTATGAAAGCGGCTATTACCTACATATTTTTCAGTTGGTTTCTAATTAAAACAATTTATACATTGGTAAAATCTCCTGGAGAAATGATGTCGAATACAATATTTTTTTCTCAACCTAAGAACATAAATTTTAATTTTACTATTCGATAGATGGCGCTGAATGACTGACAAGTGACAATTCAAAATAAAAAGTGTCTCGACCAATTTTCGTAAGATTTTTTTCCGTCTAGCCCCCTTTCACAACGCGCGATAAGGAACTTCATTCCAATACACAGTCCCTTCGTGCTTCGTAATAGATGTGAGGAACTGGGGGCTATGTCTTTTTCACTACCAAAGGATATTTTGACCAATCGCTTTGGATGACTGAACTTGAGGGATGCAGGACCACTTAGTTATGAATTATTTAGTTTAGATCTTCTTCGGGAGATGACGTTGGGGTATGTTTTGACTGGTAGTCACAGACATAGGTACAACATTATTTACATATATTTTCACTCGGCTATATGTAGCAAAAGCACTTTTTCACTTTCAGGCGGTATTTCAGTCAAGTACTCACTGGCCTTTATGCTGTGCTAATATTAAAATATCACAAATGTGTGTCGTCACAAATAGGCTATCACTAAATTTATTGACATACACTCAACTACCAGACTCTGGAAGTTACTCTGTAAGTGTTTTTTTTTATGTGGACGTTTCACGGTTACATGAAGACTTCCATCAAGTTTGGGAATATTATTCTGTCGGTGTTTTATTTGGTGTTTCGTTTTCGGTGTCGGGGCCGGTGGGGGTGGGGGTGGGGCCGGGTGTGGCGGCGCTGGGGTCGGGGCGGCTGCGGCAGATGACGGCGACGCGGCGCTGGCGCGTGACGGGCGCGCCGCGGAAGGCGCTGAGCTCGCCGCCCAGCACCGCGTGCGTGAACTTGTAGCGAGCTGAGCCTCTTGGGGGGGACACGGGTGATAATGAGTTACACTGTTTATCTATTACATATTAAACTGAATACAAAGTAGTATAGTATTATCCCCGCAAATTGCTAATACGCCTGGCCGCCATTTTGGTGACGTATTTTGTTGACATTGACATAAGACACTCTGTACCGTTAGCATTATTCTGGCTGATGCGAATTGCGAGGGACGAGTACCTACGCGTTTTTGTTTGATTGTTATCTTGTTGTTGTTTTCTTTGTTGTTATTTGTTATCAGTGTTAAGTTTTGTTATATTGTTATAGTTTTGTTACAATGAGTAAAAAAATAATTAATAGCCGTGCACGTGAAATTATTATTCAAGTGGACAATTATTTTGTACAAGAGAAAGAGGACACTATACTACTACTTCAGAATGCAACTAGATCATTAAAAGCTGCACCCGACACTAGTGAAGACGTAGTGATGTCTAAAAAATCGGTATTAGAAATTTCAAAATACTGACAAAATACGACCAAGGTCACAGAGCGTGTAATGAGCGCTACAGGGATATCAAAAAATACAGTAGCAAAATTAAGGCGCGAGAAACAAACAGCTGTGGCTAGTGGCAGTAAAATAAAAACTCCAGTTAAAAAAAAGAGGGGAAAAAAGGAATTTTTGGATGGTTTTTCTCTCGCAGCTTTAAGAAATATAATAAATTCTATATACATAGTACGAAAGGAAGTGCCCACTATGAGAAAAATTATGGCTGCAGCTAAACAAGATTTTAGACTATAAAGGGAGTGAGACTACCTTACGTCAAATTATGAAAGATAATTTAGGTTATAGATTTAAAAAATGTTATCAAAAAAGATTAACATTAATTGAAAGACCTAATATACAGGCATGGAGGGCTAAGTATTTACGCCGCATGAAAAAGAATGATTCTCTTGGCGCAGACAAAAAGCCAGTTATTTATATTGATGAGACTTGGATTCATGCTCACTATACAGTAAAAAAGTGTTGGCAATCAGATACGGATGTGGGAGTAAAAAAAAATGAGAGCCCTGGTCGCCGCTGTATTATAGTACACGCTGGTAGTGAATCCGGATTTGTCGATGGCGCACTTTTAATGTTTAAGCCAAACAGTAAAACTGGTGATTACCACGACCAGATGAACACAGAAAATTTCAGTAAATGGTGGAAAGAAAAGCTTATTCCTAACATACCACCTAATTGTATTATAGTTATGGACAACGCCCCATATCACAGCAAAGAGGAAGACAGAACGCCGAATATGTGTTCAAAAAAAGAAGAAATGATAAAGTGGCTCCAAGCTAATAATATTGAGTTCCCTGTTCACATTACTAAACCAGAATTATATTAATTGATAAAAAATCACAAAGTTCCAAAAAAATATATTATGGACAAATTATTAGCGAAACATGGCCATGAAGTTGTTCGACTACCGCCGTATAATTGCGACCTCAATCCCATTGAGTATATTTGGAACTTGGTGAAACAAAGTCTCAGATAAAAATGTCGAACAGTTAGAGAGTAGAATCGAATCGATAACATTAGAGGCATTACAATCCATTACTCCTGATGATTGGAAAAAAGAGGTCAATCACGTCAAAATGCTTGAAGAAGAATACTGGCGTAAAGACCGACTAGTTGATGATTTATTTACAATTAATACCGGACATGATTCTGAATCAGATACAACAGACTCAGAGTTAGAAAACAATTCTGAATCTGATTTAGATTGTATGAGTGGGATTGAAGAATTAGGTTAGATTTTTTTTAAATTGAATCAAAATCTAACCTAATTATATTATTAATATAGTTACATTACTAATAAGTCTTTTCTAATAAACATTGAAAATCACACAAACATTTTTCATTTCTTAGATAGATACCTATTTCCAAGGTGTGAGATTAATTAAATGTCATCAAATATCAGTTTTTTCGTAAAATGTAATCTTACAATAAATGTAATTTCAAATCTGTCAAACTTAATAATTAACCTATTAAATTTACAATTGCATTTCTTTTTTAGCAAGCTGTACTTTTCTATTTTGGATGACGTCACGTGGTTCTTAATGTGACAAAGTTCCTGCGCATTAGCAATTTGCGAGTACAGTACATTTTTGTATTTATTTAATTCACTCGCATATTATGCTTTAATATGGTTGTAGAAAAGTTACAGTCTGAACGCTTTCGTGATTTTTATCGATATATACACTAATTTTTTTATTTTCGCGTTAAGAAAATGGAGACGCATCGATCGAGCCCCGCACCCTTTTTTTTTTTTTTTTCCATGCGGAAATCCCCTCGGATACCACCTGTCGGTGGCATGTCGGACTCGAACCGACTAAAACCGCACGCCTTCGCCGGGTACTAATAGCCGGGGAACCAGGTATACCCTAGAAAGGAAGTCCCTGGTGCCCCGACATACCTCGGGTCATCTACAGACGAGTAAACGACCCCCCCCCCCCGTGTGGGACCCCATGTTCCCTGTGCTCCCTGGAAGCGAGCGCGCTTCGCAACGCGCTCGCCGTCACCCCGGCCTGCTTCTGCTAGGGTGACAGATGGCCTCACCTGTCACCCCCAGGCCTGCGCTTATGGAGGACGGAGGTCGTTCAGCGACCTCCGGCGCCTGAGTGCCCGGGCCTGGCGGGCCGGGAGAGTTCTAAACCTCTCCCGGTCCCGCTCCGCCGTCTCCTTCGCGAGCATAACTTGCTCGCAGAAGGAGACGGCAGAGTTCCACGCACTCTCGCTCCGCACGATAGCCGCAATCAGGCTATCGAGCGAGAGCACTCCCACTCCCATGGCCGCCACGAGGTCTCGCCTCTGCTCAACCCACGCCGGGCACTCTGCCAGCGTGTGGAGGGCAGTGTCCACGGTCTGGCCATCGCAGTGGTGGCACTCAGGCGTTGGCTCCTTGCGGATCAGACACAGGTGATCTCCGAAACATCCCTTCCCAGTGATCACCTGCGTCAATCGGTATGAGAGGGTCCCGTGACGCCTCTCGAGCCAATCCTCCATAACGGGTCTTACCGCCGCAATGACGGCGTGCCCGAAAAGCTAACATCACGTGGTATTCCCAGGCGGTCACCCATCCAAGTACTAACCACGCCCGATGTTGCTTAACTTCGGTGATCGGACGAGAACCGGTGTATTCAACATGGTATCGAGCCCCGCACCCTGATCAATTTTTCGCAAGAAACGACTCGATCGAAGCGTCACTATTTTCTTAACGCGAATGAACTTTAATTTTTAAGCTTGTAACATTCTTCAAATATTAACATTAACAGCCTATTTTGTAAATAATTATTATTGTAACGGACCATAAAAAAATTTTTCTTGTTTTTTGGATCCGATATAGTATTCAGAGAATTAAATTTTATAAAGTAATACAGTGAACAAATATTTTAGACAAACTAAAAAGTTAGTGTTCCCTCACCGCATGATGTAGAGCGACCTCCTGGCGATGAGCGCGTCGAGCGCGAGCTGCTTGTTGGTGCAGTGCTCCAGTCTCATCACGGCCGACGACACCAGGCACAGACCCGCGATCACCTCGCCGCAGAACTGGATTCACAGAAACTTCGCAATACAAATTACTTGCCATGTTGTTTATATATTAACATTATAATGTACAGGTCAAACATATAACCTTCAATTTTTAATATGTTGCTGCAATGGTTAAAAAAAAAAAAAAAAAAATATTTTCCACGCAGAAGAAGTAGCGGGCAAGAGCCAGATAACAATAAATGTTGTAAATACTATTAATGTACACACCTTGACAGCATCAACATGAGGCTTAATATATCCTGCAGAAGCCAGGTCCAGAACATGAACTGCGGGCATAGGCATCCCTGCGCCGGTCCCTGGAAGGAAGGCCACCGACTTGATGCGAGTCAGCACAGCTTCGCTTGCCTCCGACCACTGAACGACTTCCTTCTCACGGAAACCGTGGATGGCCTGATGATCAGGTTTAAAAAGTTTAAAAATCCCTTAAATTTTTTATTAAATTGAATAAGTCGATTTTAGGTATTGTTGAAGTAAATTATCGTAACCGGTGACATATAAAATCGTTGCCAGTGGCAATATCTCCATATGCTCTACACAATCATTATTATTGAATTGAGCCAAGATTATTTTAGGATATCCACTATTTGTTCATGGTTTTTATTAGTACGAGTATTAAACTCTATTTGCATGCTGGTTGAGGAATCATTTTTATGCTAGTAAAGTAATAGAACAGAAAATTTGGTCAACCATTTACATGTTATCATAGACTCACCCGGAAATTATAAAATATCATTATCAACAGCCTTTAGTGGTCCACTGCTGGACATGGGCCTCTCTATGACTCATAGGACTATCAACAAATATTGGTTATTGTATATTATCGGATGTTTACACATTACATGTTACTACAATTATTATGTTTTAAGAATCCCTTGAGAACTCAACAGATTTCAACTCTAACATTTTTTTTTTCACTGGACTGGACAGGACTGTCACTGAGCGACTACATCTACAGCAAAACATTCCTGTGAAACTTGAGTAACTTTGACCTTTAATTACATCATTGTGTACTTAAACCTAAATCTTGTTCCGTTAAAGCGTCTAATTTCTGCTGTTGTTGTATTAGACAACATACTATTTAAATAGCACAGAAACCCTGTAAACCCTTTTTAAGTATCAGCAGTGTATTATTTGTCATTACCTACTGTAATATAACAACCATGAAATTTTGTTTGTTAATTTTAATTGTAAACAATAAATATTATTATTAAATAGCCAACTAGTAGCCTTTTGTTTCCTTCAAAACACAAAGCTCTCAGACACTTTTTTTGGACACATTCCATCATAACATGTTGGACATCCTCTATTACACTATATTCAAGGCAATTGGGTGGCAGGACTCCTTTCACCAAGAATGCAAACTTTTTGATGGAATGTGTCTCGAACGTAATCTTAGTATGGTTTTTTAATTATTGCAGTTTTTTCGAATTGTATCTATCCACGGTAGTTGGATTGTTCTATACCAAATACCACTCTTACATGAACATTAATCAAAATATTCTTGCCAATTCTTTATCCACATATCCTTTACTATCCCAAAGCGACAAAAAATTGGTAAGATACTTGTAGAAATCCCGTTATCAGCTGCCATTGCAAATCTTCCTGCCATTTTTACTCTTAAAGGTGGAATCTCTCAAGACTTTGTGATCTCTGCTGTAAGGTAGATTAATAACACTCACATTGTCCCAGTGATCAAATTCATATCTCATGCGCTTCAGTTGAGGATCTAGTTCTGCAAGCATGGCCGCCTCCTCTTCCTTTGACACAAATTCAGGAATCACTTGCATATCCTGTAGCACACTTTTACGTAACTCTGGCTCCACATCCTCTTTCCAAGTTTGAGCTATTTCTATCAGACTCAGGTCAGCTGAAATTATACATAAACAATAATTTAATAAAGCACCTTACCACAACTCTTTACAAATTCAGTTTAGTAATAGAAGTTGTTATTATTTGTGAAATGTAAACACTTTTGTAAAATATCAATTGTGAAAATAAAATTTTAATATTTCGCTAAAATGGATTTGAGTGTAAATATTTACAGTGCGTATGTATTCGATATGTGTAGTATAACTAGTGTGGCTATTAACTGTCCTATTAAAAAGTATATTAACACTATACCTACTAATAAAAAGATTATGGAGGATTAGTACAACCGGAGGACATTAAGAATTAATAACTAACTTGCTAAGTTGGATGTTTATCAATACAGTAATATTGTATGTGTATATATCAATGTATTAAAGGAGTAAATATGCAAGAAGCTAAAAAAATTATGAAACTAACCAGTAGGTTTGGGTATGACTTTAGGTTGCAACAAACCACCGCTGATCATACGTTTTAGAGTGTAGCTTGTCGCCTTGTTTTTGCAGTTTTTCAAGAAACTAAACGTTAATGAACGCATTTTCCGAATTATAAACTTTAACAACAGCAAATGAAATGTAAAATGAACCTGCGCTCTATCTGACGGCGATCTAAACGTCAGACAGATCAAGACGAGTAAATAGTGCTGTCAACTGTCAAGGTATGTGCCAGCACATTCCCATCTAAAATATTACAATACCCAAGAACTATTTTCCAAAATAATAAATAAAGATATATTTAGGTTCCTTTTTTCAATTCTGCATACATCGCAATATCGAAACATACTAATGTTTTTAAAACTGTGTACTACATGCTACTGTGTTTGCTTTCTTATTAAGAGTACCAAAATTGTAGTAGTCCAGTCCAGTTTAGGGATTTCCATTGTAATATAATTTAAATGATTATAAATAGGTATTATTAATTTATACCTACTAGCTCGAAATCGATCGCGTCACATAAATCAAACAATTCAGATCGACTTGGAACTGTTTTTTCATTTTGTTTTTGCAAAGAAACGTCTTTGTGGTGGTACGCTACACGTCGCTAAGTACCTACTCGACAATTAAAACTCATCTTAGTGATTGAAGTTGTTATCATAAACCTAGTGTCGTTATATCGATAGTACTTGAGGATTATGTAAGTGCACAATGTAATGGTTTGTCCTCTTGACTCCAGTAGGATCTGAATAAATTCTGTGGATCGTTGTTCTTAAAGTCCTCTATGTATATCTTTATCCGGCAATGAAACTAAAGAAAAGTAGTAAAAAAATAGAGTGAGGGTAGATAGATTGGTCTGCTTGTAAATTAAAACACATCCCCCCGCAGTTATTCAAAATCATCAGTGATCGTGGCGTTGAAAACTTTACCGTGTCATGAGCATGACGCTTGCCACAGTGCGTTACGGAAAGTACGGAAACTATTTCCCAAATACAAACATTTTATTTTTTTACATTAACTTGAACACATTTTTAATAACTTGTCAGGTTTTTTTTTTGGTGCGGCAACTACACATTGACTGCATAATGTGATTTTTTTAAAACAAATTATGGCTTAAATGGTTAGTATTCAGATCTATAGTTTCACAACGACTTGTTTGTTTGTAATTTGTATTGATTTTTATGAATGAAACATTCAGTTCCAGTTCATAGGTTCATAGCACAGAGTTCATAGTTCATGAGTTCAATAATAATAAATTTCAAGTTTCAATGTCAATTTGACACTGTGTTGTTTGGTAAATAATGGTAAATGTTTATATAACTCTACCGCAAAGCCATTAACCAAAAGTTGAAGTGGGTAAATGTTTTAGTAATGTTAAAAGTCGAAACGAAGAAGATTGAACCGAATGATTGTTTAAATTAAAGATGATTTGAAACGGGAAAATATATTTATTAATGGAATGTTTTCACATTCACGATTGAGACGGCTTTGCACATCGAGGTGAAAGCTAGTCTGCAAAATGGATGTTCTTCCGGACGAAGTTCTAGACATGGTCTTCAAGTACCTGTCCACACCTATGTTGCTGGGCGTCTGCGTGCGCGTGTGTCGACGTTGGCGGTACGTCGTTGAGCGTCAGGCGCTGGCGCTGCGGGAAGAGGGCGATGAGCGCCGCCTGCACCGCGCCATGCGACGCGTGCTGGTCACCACGTTCCCTGTAGATCTGTTAGGGCTCATGGACAACATCATCGCCAAGGTACGGTTCATACGCGAGATAACCGTGCACTGCTCGGCAGCTTTTCACGAGCCGCACACAGAAGCGCTTCGAATGCTGCCTAATCTGGTTCACCTAGACGTGTTTTTGCAACCGCGCGTACTCGACGAGCGACTGTCGGATATCATTAGGCGCCTGAACACGCTGGTGGCTAACGAGAAACTGGCGCCGGGTCTGCTCCGCGATCTGGCGGCGAGTTCTCAGCTGGTCGCGCTACACATGTACGGACGCGCCATGCTCTACCCTTGCCGCGAGATGCTGGACATGCTGAGCGCGCGCGCCCCTTACATGCGCGAGTTAACGCTTCGCTGCAACCAGTTGCCCGACGCGGCCTTCAGCACCATCGGTGACTGTTACAACCTGCTCTCGCTGCAGCTGTACTCGTGTAGGCTGCTGTCGACCATGGGGGCGCGCGCGCTATGTCGTCCGCGGCGCTTGCGGCGCCTGCACGTGACGGGCGCGTGTCTCGTGCGGCGTCATGCCCTCGCCGACATGCTCGAGCTCTTGCCCGAGAATTTAAACGAGCTCGTACTTAGTAATAGTTGGTTCGGAGACGAACACGTAAGGATCGTGGCGAAAAGTGCTCGCGAGCTTCGCGTCGTCGAGCTGTGGTGTTGTAAGTTAACCGCCGCCGGGGCGAAGAAGCTCGCGTGTGCGCTCCCAAAACTGGAGCAGCTAGACCTAGACCTGACCATGCCAAAAAGGTTTCTGCAGGCGATGGCTCGTCACTCCAGCCTGCGATTCGTGCGTTGCGTCCCTGACAAAGCGGGCCCCCACCCCGAGCAGTACATGCAGGATCACCCCATATGGGAAGTAGATGGATTGCGAATATTTGCGACGTACGCCCTATACAACCACAAGTATTTCCGTACGGGTGACGAAGGGTTTCGCTCTGTGTTGTTTTACTATTGGATGCAGGATGTGCCTCCTGAACCACACCTGCCGTATGAGTATTCAGAAGTTGACACATATGAAGATCCCTTCTATTAAATCTGGTTTTTTGATAATTTATCATGATGAAAAGATATCAGCTCTCTAAACAGGTGGATCCCCTTTGTGAGTACGGAAATATGACTTTGAAGTGGTCAAGTAGACTTGAAAACAACCATATTGTAATTCACTTCATTTCATATTTCTGTTAACCCTTCATTCACCATTATATTTTAATGACAAACCAATTCTTAATTAAGAAACTAAGAAGGAGAGCCAACATTTAGTTCTCAAAAGCAGAACATAATATGAAGGATCATAATATAAGTGAGAATAGGTCATAAAATATTACAAAAGAAAAGGCTGAAACAGTGAGACATTAGGAAAGACATCTCTTGCCATTAAAACCCTATTGAAATTCTAGAATTTGATTGTTTTAATGTTAGCAAATATATTAGTACTATAATACTCCTTGTAAGGATATACTCATTTTGTGTTGATGAAATACAAGGACTTGTCTTCGCAATTAAATAATTCAAGCAAATGGCGTCATTATAAAGTATTTTATGCATCCATGTGTAAGTAATTGTTGTGTATGTAGTATCTACATGTTATGTGAATGTTTACTGTTTGTTAAAAGCCCACTGGAATCTCAGTGTTTTATAGTTTGTAAGTATATAGCCGCTCAATAGTAGTGGTATGGGAATATATATATATATATTAATGGATAGTAAAATTATTGTTATTTATATGTATAGTGAATTGATGTTTTATAAATCAATGTTAGAATTTATGTGCATAGTGGATGTTCAAGTTCTGTCACAGTTTATATATGAATACTGGCCAGAAAAGTTTGCCATCATTTTTATTTTTTATTGTTGTTCCATGTTAATTAATATTGTTTCAAAAGGTACAAAAGGAAACCAACCTTAATCAAGATTTGTCTACACAAGTGCTTTCATATTAATCTTGCAACTTCCTCAACCTTTTTTTTTTTAACGTGTGGAAATCCCCTCGGACCCTCACCCCACCGGGGTTTGCGGCGGGGTGGCGTGTCGGACTCGAACCGACTAAAACCACACGTTGTGCCCTCTTTGCGCTTCCAGTTTAGGAGGGGTCCAGGTAGTTATCGCCTTCTGGACGCCTCCCAGCGCCGGCCCGCTCCTGGTGCGGGCTCCGTCTCCAATTATCCTCTCTTTAGGCGACGTCCGGCACACGCGGACGCCGCCCCCTCGCGGCTGGCCAACTAATGCGGGTGGAGGGGAGAACCCATCCCGTCCACCCGCGGCCACACTCAGGGCGGCATGAGGCGCAGGTAAGCGCGCCTCCGCCGCCCGGTTCGCCGGCGGCGGATCAGGTCCGAGTGGAGGTCGTCCTCCCGGGCCTTCTCCGCGAAGGTTGCGACCGCGGTAAAACAACTGTCGCTACCGGCCATGGAGCGAATTACGGCCGGTAGCGAGAGATCTGCTCCGATGACTGCAGTGAGGGCCCGGCGCTGCGTCGCCCATGCGGGGCAAACCGCCAGCGTGTGCTGGGCCGAATCCTCACCGCAGTCGCAGTGGTGGCAGGCGGGACTCGATTCCCTCCTAGCGACCGAGTGCAGATACTTTCCGAAGCAACCGTGCCCGGAAAGCACCTGCGTCAGCCGGAAGGAAAGGGTCCCGTGCTGCCGCCCTGCCCACTCGGCTATGACCGGCTGGAGAGCCTCCACGGCGGCGAAGCCAGCGCGTGGAGTCTCCAGCCGGAAAAACCATCTGACCATGGTGGTTTGGCGAGCGGCTTCGCGCCACTCGCGCACGTCTTCGGGCGGAGGGCGAAATCCGCTCTCCGCCCGGAAGTCAGCCACTCGCCGATTAACTTCGGCGAGCACCTCCGCCTCCAAATCCCACGGGGGTGTTCCGGCCAAGGCGCAAGCCGCCCAGGTGGACACCGTGCTGTATCCGCGTATGGCTCTGACCGCCAATATCCTCTGGGGGCGCCAGAGGCGCGCCCTATTCGGGGCGGTCAGAGCCGCCACCCACACCGGTGCACCATAAAGCGCCATGGACCGGACAACCCCCGCGTACAGCCGCCTCGTGGGAACACTGGCCCCGCCCAAATTGGGCAAAAGTCGCCCTAGGGCGGAGGCAGTGTCCACCAGCTTCGGACCAAGCTGAACTTCCTCAACCTTAGAGCAACCATACCCTATGAAGTATAGTTTGAGAAGTTAGCTAGTTTGAAAAGAGGGGATGCCTTTTACAAGATTAAATGGGTGGATATAAATTAAAATTCTTCAGTTTATTGAAGACTGTCCAGATTCTATTATTTTTAGATTTTTCCTTGCAGTTATACCTAAATATTTGGTGACAGAGATAGCGTAGGTTCAGAAAGGATCATATGCTAAAGGTCAAACAATCAGAAAGTCAAAACCCACAAAAAGTCAAACACTCGTGTAAAATAAAAAAACGCAAAAAGTCAGTCAGTCGTACTAAATGTAACACGCACAGTTAAAGAAGAAGGCAATATAATCAGAGACATCGTTATGAATCAAAACATGATATACTAAATTATTTGACTTAACTAAAAAGTATTTATTACCACAATCGTACTTTTCTAATCATTCCACCCTCTTGTCATTTTGAGTGTTCGACCTATAGCGTATGATCCTTCAGAAACATCCATGTTATAGATAGATTAAGGCGCGCAAATGTAAATGATAACTGCATGGCACTTAAACCAATTAATAATAAGCAATCAATAAATAAAATGTATGCAAATATGCTTGCGTGAAGACCCAAGATGACCAGGATAAGTCACTGGTGTATACTTGTTTGCGTTGCTCAATAAAAATAGCAATTCTTTTTTAAATAATTGTCTATAACAGAACTTGTGATGCGGAGTTTTGTATAAGTTACAAAGACATAATTTAGTGCCAAAAAAATGGGATAAACGACGCTACAGCAGTCCTGCAATAAGAAGGTTGCGGTTTAAACATCAACTACTGTAGCAACGCGCTCAAAATTCTAGTCATTCATAGTTTTAAGTTAATGTTGAAAATGTAATTTGATGTAATTGTGTGTCTAGAACAGATATTATCAGTTTTATTTATTACTTGACTTGTACTCATTGAATAGATAGATGCGCTCTATAGCCGACATGGATCAATAGCGGGCCGAATGGGGCAACAGTTGCCACCGCCATTGTGTATTCTCTCATAAAGCAGTATCCGTTATTGTGTTACAATGTAACATACATAATTATTTGTTTCCTTAGAATGAGCCATTAAGGTGGCTGTGTATGTGGCTGATCTTGGCCAACATAAAGTTATTCGATTTTTGAAACTCGTGTTTCCTAACTGCTTTTCTTTCTATGTATATTAATGTCAACTAGAGATCAATAAATTATGGGTATTATTATTGGTTATTATTATTGGGTATTGCCCAATATAACTTAAAATGTCATTAATAAATAAATATACTGGACACGTTTAGCTTGTTTTGTTATTTCTGTTTGATATAAGGTTTTAGCAGCCGGATCACCTGATGGTAATTGACGACCTCCATCCGTGAAGAGAAGGAAACTTGAAACAAACCCTATACCAACCCGTCTGGCCAGCGTGGTATAGTAGGCCAAAACCTCCTTTCTAAGGCTCTCTTTAGTGGACTAGTAAAGGCTGTGGGTGGATGTGGATGACTCGTGGTTTATCGGCGAAATTTTTTAATATAAGTGATTATCTTAAGCAGGTATTGCATTATTGTACAGATATCAAAATTCTTAAGCTTTATAAATAATCGGGGTGAATGAGGTAGACATTTGGTAACTCTTAAAACATCGTGGTCAATTATAATCATATCACCAGCTGAGTACATTCTTGGGTCTTTCTCGAGAAATAACCGGTTAGTCTCGCGGTCCCTGGACTCATAAGCAGTAGGCATCATCTGGAGAACATTACCATCATCATCATGTGATGATGGAAAGTGTGCCTTTTACCCTTCTATCAGACCTAAATGGAAACGTTCTTTTCTGTTTCCCAGTCTCTACATGAGGAGATCGTCTCGTCTCGTCGATCGAGTCTCGATAAATGATGAAACCTTGGTTAAGCTTCGGTTTTTTGGGTAATCAAAATTTCCCCATATAGGATATGAAAAGTAGGTGCCTAAGTCTTTAAATGTTGGTGAAGAGAGTAAGTGTGTACTTTACATAACTAACTTACAGGAATAGCTGCTGCACGAGTCCAGCGACACAACTCGCATTGAATATAAAGAACGACAATAAATTTGTATTTTACATTACTGTTGTATCTTAAATATAAAATGAGTTTCTTCTTTTGCAAACGTTTGCTCGAAATCGGCGCTGTATTTAAATTAATTAATCAAAATAATGAATAATTTATTTGGTTTGACTAGTACACATTGTGCTTTAGTTTAGTATTTGATAATCAATTTATAATACTATATTTTTTCTTCTTACAAAGCAAACAAGAATATACAAACACACAAACACATAAATTTTATGTCATGTCAAATAAATATCAAGCGCCTGTCGTCTTTCTAATATCAAGTTTACAGTTGTGCGTTATGCTATCGTGGAAATAGGACGGTATGATGTGTACGTGCACAAAAACATTAAGTTTTTTTTATATTTTACATGAACATGTATGTACATGTCTTTATCACTATGAATATCTTTAATGACGATATTGAATAAGATTTCATAAAAAAAACGTGCGAGGGTTAATAGTAGTCGCATAATGATGTCTAATCAATTAGCGCGCGTTTTCCGGCTTCCTGTTACACGCTCGTCCCTTTTCACAAAATCATTTTCAAAGATTGCAAGAAATTGTTTTTTTTTTAGAAAATGTCTGGTTGGAGTGAATGCTTATTTTATATAAATAAAAACAGTCCCTGACGACACGGTATATCAAGGAGGAATAGAGGAGTCAACGGATGTGGTTACTATTCTAAAAATGGCGGAGTAAATATTCAACCCAGAACTTCTATAATCTATACTTACATTGTAATTTATAATATACTAACTATCTGAATATCTGGATGAACGTTATTGTACCTTATAACATTTAC